AGTTGTATCTACTCTGATATATCTCCATTCTGATGTTGTTGTTCTTTCTGAATTTTCTTCTGTAATCAATTCTTGAAGGCTTTCTTGTGTGTTGCTTCATTTGGTGCAGGTCTATAATTGTGCAGTGTGTTGTTTGTAATGCATGTAGTATCTTAAATCACTTGGGGAATATTTATACTTACTTTAAGGCTTGTTTGTTTCCTTCCATTATTAGCTGGTGGAGGTGAGGTAGATTATTTTTTCCTTTTTGTGTGTGTGTCCTTTTTGTTATTTTGAATGGTTTACTTTTTTTTTTTTTTTGTTAAATTTTGTGTATCTGTAATATTTACAAGTAAAAATGTAGATTAGGGATTGAGAAATAAAATGTCTTCTGGGGCCAGGCAAGTGGTGATAAATGCATGAGGTGGGGTAAGAGTGTGCTGTGCTGTGTTTGGAACAGCAGCAACCACAATCTCTTTACTCAGCCAATTAGCAACATGGTCATTTTAGATCTTCTGGAATCCTGTGAGAAGCTACAAATCATGGATGTTGGTCAAATCTTCTGAAATTCACACATTGACATTCACACTTTAAAAAACAATGAGTCAAAAGTGCATTACCCATCAGTTTACAGACGTATGTGTCTAAACACATTTCTGGTAGCTTAATGCAGGGACTGGTTATAGGAGCTCTGGATGAAATGTGGGTACCCTGTGATTTCTTTAGTGTGTTTATAGAGCGTTGTGCCAATTTGACTAGTCATAAGTAATCTGCATCACTATCCTTTTTAATCCCACCCCCTTTAATCCTGCATGTGTCCTGCTTAGAAATCCCACTTCAAAGAACTATACTTGTGATTTTTATCATGGGGTCATTACGAAGGTCTGCAGCTCTGAGAACAGGATACCAGGGAGCTTATTTTGTGATCTTTTAATAATACATTCACTTGTGGCTGCTTTTTTTTTCCCTATCCTGATGGAGGGTTCTTCCTAGGTTCTGGAAAATTTATTTCTTCAAAGGTCTTCTCTCCCCCCTCAAATGTTACTTTGCTTCAACTCACAGGTTTTGTGTCAGCTTTTCACTATCTACTCTGGATCATCCAGAAGTACCTCACTATTCTTGGTTTTCCAGGGATGTTATAGGTTCTACTTGCACATTTCTTCTGTTACATTATTGGAAGTAGAGAAACACAGCTGTGGGCATGTGTATGTAATGTGTAGGCATATGTTTATATATGTGCAGATATTTCTTAGTTTTTTACATTGGAAAACAGTTCAATTCTCAAAACTTTCTAAGTTACTTTTTTGTTAAGTGATAAGCAAATTATATTTTATGTTTACTGTAATCCTTTTTTTTTGTTTTAAATAAGATGCCTCCATTGAGATTTTCTTATAAAAGGTTATATTAAAAATAAAACCCTTGATCTTATCTATTTGCTGAACCTTTTGTCATTGGGTTTACTTTATTCTTTGATAAGAGTTCTTATCTTTTTCTTTCTTTTTAACCCCCCCCCCAATTGCACTCGAGTTTGAACACTTGACCTTGCACATTCTAGGCAAGTGCTCTACCACTGAGCTGTACTCCCAATCCTTTTTTGAGATTTTGAGGCTTGTGTCACTTGATTGCCTAGTCTGGCCTTGAACTTAATCTTCTTGAGTAGAAGATTAAGATGTATGGTTACAGATGTGGGCCACTGCACCCAGCCAGTTATTTTATTTTGTATTTAAATTAACTGTATGCTTTGAGTTTTTAAATTTATAATTAAAAGTTTGAGTAGAGGCCGGGCCATGACAGTGGATGCCTGTAATCCCAGCAGCTCAAGAGGCTGAGGCAGAAGGATCATGAGTTCAAAGCCAGCCTCAGCAAAAGTGAGGCGCTAAGCAACTCAGTGAGACCCTGTCTCTAAATAAAATATAATAGGGCTGGGGAGGTGGCTCTTTGGTTTTGTGCCCCTGAGTTCAATGCCCAGTACACCCTGCCTCCCCCTCAAAAAAAAAGTTTTGAGTAGAATATTGCGTGTTTCTTTACTCTTACTTTATTTTATGATGAAAGTTAGCCATCTAAAAAATGTTGTATATACTTATTTACTGTTGACTTGTTTTATTTATCTCTCCAATTGAAGATTTTATTGTTTCCCTTTTGGGATGAGGGATAGGAAACAGAAAAGCTGTTAAAATACAGATTAACATGTGAATATAGAAATTTTTTAGTTGAATTAAATAGTGTGAGTTGACCAGATGGGACCAGATGGTCCCATAGTGCTGAAAATCATAGTGGATCTAGTGTGTTTAATGTGGAGCTCAATGAATGCACGCCATTCATGCATGGCTGTGGTTCTGCTAGACTTAAGTGATTGTCTCTGCTTCCTAGGTTGCAGCACTTGCACAAAGAGGGTGCATGTTCAGATCATTTCCGTGTAGAATTGTTATAGGGATGGTCAAGGTTGGAGGGTGAGTGTGAGGTGGGGGCAGGGAAGAATCAGCACTGCTGCGCCTTTGGTAGGTGAGGGCAGCCCTGGAGTTAATGCACTGTTCAGCAGCAGCACTTCCCTCAGCTCTGTTTCCCACTGACAAGGACTAAGAGGAAGCCATTGGGTAAGAGAGGTCTCAGAAATGTCTCCAGCTTCCTACCGTTGTTGGTCCAACGCAGTGGAGTATGGAAGGGAGAAATGTGGGACCAAGGGGTAATGGGATAATAACTGGCATACCCAGGATCAGAGACTTTTTTTATATATAAATATTGCTAGTTTTGCTAGTTTGCTGTATTTTTATGATGCACATAGCAAATTTATTGGATGGTTCTTATCTTGATCAGTATTTTTTTCTTTTAAAAGAAGAATGTCTATATCCCTATAACCCATGTTTTGTTGGTTTTTTTTTGGGGGGGGGAGCGGGTACTGGGGATTGAACTCAGGGGCACTGAGCCACATCCCTAGCCTATTTTTTATTTTATTTAGAGACAGGATCTCACTAAGTTGCTTAGCCCCTCACTTTTGCTGAGGCTGCCTCAGCCTCATGAGACTCTGGGATTACAGGTGTACACCACCACGACCAGCACCTATATTATTTTTGGAAGATTTTTCAGAGAACTTTGATGATATTCCATTGAGATACTCAGTATCCTTTATTTGTGTTTCTTTCTCCTGAGTATAAACAATAATGTTCAAATACTAAGATTGGAAATGATTTTTGAATGGATTTTAGTTTCATTTTTTTAAGACTTTATTCTTTTCTTTTCTTTCTTTTTTTTTTTTTTTTTTTTTTTTGTGGGGAGGATACCAGGGATGCTTACCACTGAGCCACATCCTCAGCCTTTTTTAAAATATTTTATTTAGAGACGGGGTCTTGCTGAATTGCTTAGGCTTAGGGCTAAATTGCTGAGGCTGGCTTTGAACTCAAGATCCTCCTGCCTCAGCCTCGCCTCCCCAGCCACTGGAATTACATGTTGGCCACCATGCCCAATAAAAGACTTTATTCTTTTTAAATAAAAGACTTTGTGCAAGTTTTTATGTAGATGTAAGTTTTTAGCTTCTTTGGGTAAATACCAAGAAGCATGACTCCTGAATCATTTGGTAAGAGTATGTTCAGCCAGGAGTGGTTTTGCATGCCTGTAATCCCCTCAGGAGGCTGAGACAGGAGGATTGTAAGCTCTGAGCCAGCCTCAGCAACTTAGCAAGTCTCTATCTCAAAATAAAAAAAAATAAAAAGAACTAGGGATGTGGCTCAGCGGTTAAGTGCCCATGGTTTCAATTCCCAGTATCAAAAAAGAGTATGTTTAGTTTTCTAAGAAACCATCAGTCTGTCTTCCAAACTGGTACTGTTTTGTATTCCCATTAGCAATGAATGAGAATTTCTGTTGCCCCACATCTTCATTAGTTTTGGAGTTGTCAATATTATAGATGTGGGCCATTGTGATAGGTGTGAAATGGTATCTGGTTTTAATTGCATTTTCTGATAACATAGTGTACTGCATCTTTTCACATGCTTATTTGGCACCTTATATATTCTTTGGTGGAAGGCCATTTTTTAATCAAATTGTTAGTTTTCTTATTGTTGAGCCTTAATAATTCTTTATAAAATTTTAGTTAACAGTCCTTTATGAGTTTTTTTTTTTTTTTTTGCAAATGTTCTCTCAGTCTGTGGCTTTTTGTTCTCTTGACAGTGTCTTTTACAGAGCATAAATCTTTTAATTTTAATGAAATCTATATTATGGATTTATTCTTTCATAGATTGTGCTTTGAATGATATACCTAAAAAGACATGGCCGAGCTGAACATGGTAGTGCATGCCTGTAACCCCTACTTTTTAGGAAGCTAAGACAGAATCTCAAGTTTGAATGTAGTCCACAAAAAAAAGTTTTTAATCATGTGTTCTATGTCTTAGAACATAGTAAGCATATTCATTTTTTGAAGTCTGTACCGGATAATTCCAAAATTTGACATTTTGAGGGATCTATTTCTGTGTTATTTTTTTTCTTTTGTCTTGTTTAGTGTTTTTTTCTTGCTTATAGATTCTTTTTCCTTTTGTACAAGGTTACCTGTGATTAAGTGCTGTTCATTTGAAAAAATACATGTATGATTGATTTGAAGCCTCAGTCATGGCTTCTTTAGAAGTGATTTTGAGTTTTCTAGGCATCCGGAGGTAATTTGTACAAATCTAAGGCTTGTGATTTTTCTGAACTACCTAGGTGTTATGAAACTGGGTCACTGAGTTTGTATAACCCTTTGAGGGCATCTACTTAAAGTTGTTGGTAGTTGAGGGTAGAAGCCATTAAATGATTCAATTTTTGCTGTAAATGTTTAGTGATAAGCAACTTTAAGTGCTGGGCTTACCTTTTTTTTGCCTCACTATATTATTACCTTTTCATATCTTTAAGATTTTTTTTCTGCATTTCATGTAGTATTTTATAATTTTTTATTACAGGGTTCATCTTACTTCTGTAGCCTGCCATTAGTAGAGGCAGAAATCTTTCCTTTTAATTTACATTTGAATATGTCTTGATGTATGTATGTTTGTTTGTAGGTTCTACATGAAACGTTTCCTCAACACACATTCCTCATGAATGGTCTCATTCAAGGTGTAAAGGTAAGAACAATTTTTGTATGGTTCAGAATGAAACAAAATTATGAATTCTTAAGTAGTTCAACTTTGGAGATTTAAGTGATTCTTAGGGAAGCAATTACTACTTGCTCTGGAGACTTTAAATTTTTAGTTGACTTATCAAAGTCAGACTAAAATCAACACAAATACATTAGTCATAGATTGGTTTACTGTTAAAAATAATGTGAATACTTTACAGGCCTCCTTTTTTTTAATCAGATAAACTTTGAGTCTGAGGCAGAAGGAAGCATCAGAATTCAGTTGGATATTTATTTACTCTTAACCACTTGATTTAAATAGTCTTAATTCATTATCTCAATTTTAAAAATAATGTGAATACTTTACAGGCCTCCTTTTATTTTTATCAGATAGACTTTGAGTCTGAGGCAGAAGGAAGCATCAGAATTCAGTTGGATATTTATTTAGTTTTACCACTTGATTTAAATAGTCTTAATTCATTATTTCAATTTTAATGTGATATGTACCAGAAAAGATGATAGTAAAGTCTGTGGGTATAAGGTATAATGTGCCCTTCCCAGCTTAGATACTGTGAATCTGTTTATAATTATGCTTTATGCATAACAACACACTTAAAATTGTGCCCTAGTAATTTGTTGAATTTAGCCATAGAAATTTGGATTCCCAGCTTTGAGCAGCATCAACTTTAATTAATATTATTTATTCTTTGCCTATTTTTGGAAAGGATTTGAGGATACAGTCAGTTTAAATAAAGTTGAAAGAACAAATTTTTAATACTCAGTAAGAGAAGGAAGAATATCATTAAGAATGGTGTGAGCACCAGCTTATGAGCACAGTAGATTTAAAAAAAAAAAACTAAAATTCACGAGAGAAAAAATTGATAAAATTATAGTTAAGTGTATCCTTAAATACAGTAGTTCTCAGGAAGGTTGCTTTATAGATATTTGTCTTGTAGAGAAACTGATAAAGTGTGTTTTATGTGTCTGGTTCTGCATAATAAAACCAACTGAGTCTATAAAGATGAGTATGATGCCATGCTTCCACCAAGGAACATCTACAATGTTATTCTAGAAGATAGAAGAGAAAAGGTATTGGGCTGGGATTGTGGCTCAGCGGTAGAGTGCTCGCCTAGCACAGGTGGGACCTGGGTTCGATTCTCACATAAAAATAAAGGCATTGTGTTGTCTCCATCTACAAAAAAGATTCATATTCATTCATTCTTTCTTTCTCTCTCTCTCTCTCTCTCTCTCTCTCTCTCTCTCTCTCTCTCTCTCTTTCTCTCTCTCTCTTCCCCAAAAAGAAAAGGAAAAGGTATTTCAGTTTATGCATGGGCTTGAATAAGGAATTGCTGAATTTCAATATGGTCTAATATGGTCTTAAATATTTTAATAATTGGTTACTGTTTCAGGGTAAAGACATAAAGATTACACTTCTACAGTAAAACATAGCTTTATTAAGATTTCTTAATATGCTTATTACTACAGTGGGAATGTGTAGGGCTTCAGATTGCCTTAGCTTAAAATCTCTTCTCTGCATCTTATTAACTATGTTGACTTAGTTGAATGATTTGACCTCCCTAAACCTCAGCTTGATTATTTAGGAATTGGGAAAGATAGAGTACTTTCTATTAGGGTGCTTGTGAGAATTAAAAGATAGTATGTATAATAGCTCTTAACACTGTATTTTTTAAAATATTTTTTTTAGTTGTAGATGGACACAATACCTTTATTTTGTTTATTTATTTTTAAAGTACTGCTGAGGATCAAACCCAGTGCTTCACACATGCTAGGCAAGCACTCTACCACTGAAGTACAGCCCCCGCTCAACACTGTATATTCATGTACTAAATACTGAATGTTGCAAAGAAAAATAATGTCGAAAACAAAACCGAACTATTAGAATGAAATATTAGTGAACATTTTTCTTACTAGTTTGAGGAAGAATTTCATTTTAGAAAAGGAATTCATAAAGGAAAAGAATGAGTCTGTTATGCCGGGCATGGTGGTGCACACCTATAATCCCAGAGGCTTGTGAGGCTGAGGCAGGAGGATTGTGAGTTCAAAGCCAGCCCCAGCAAAAGCAAGGCCCTAAGCAACTCAGTGAGACCCTGTCTCTAAATAAAACACAAATAGGGCTGGGGATGTGGCTCAGTGCCCCTGAGTTCAGTCCCTGGGATTCCCCCCCCCCCCCAAAAAAAAAATGAGTCCATTATTTTGGCATTTTAAACTTTGGTAAATCGAAACAATCAGCATCAAAATTAAAAGACACATTAAAAAGTGTTATTTGTAACGTATATAATGGAAGAAGGAATACTCTTCTTGACATGTGAGTATGGTCAGAGTAAAGCCATAAGAAAAGGAGCAATATCCCAAAAGGGCAAGGAAAGAAGCCTGGCAGCTTAAAAAAGGCATTGGTGTAAAAATAACCAAAGAAGCTAACTTAAATTAGGTAACGTTGTTATACATCAAATTGGTAAAAATTTTAAATTGACAAGAACTAATTTATTCAGTGTTTGGTGGGATGGCCCCCACACAGTGCTGATAAGAGGATTAATCAGTTTAGCTTTTTGTGGAATACATCTTTGAAAATACTCATTTAAGCTGGGGATATAGCTCAATGATAATGTGCTTTTGTAGCATGCAGGAGGCCTCAGGAATGGATCCCCAGCACTGCAGAGAAAGAATTCATTTATTTTAACAAAGYAATTTTTATTTCTATAAGTTATTCAATTAAATAGAGTTACTCAAAGATTCAGGTAGGGGCTGGGGTTGTGGCTCAGTGGTAGAGCCTTGAATGTGTGAGACACTGGGTTCGATTCTCAGCACCATGTATAAATAAAAAAAAATAAAGGTCCATCAACAACTAAAATGAATAAAATAAATAAAATTTTTTAAAAAAATTTAGGTAAAGGGCTAGTATAGTTTTATTTGTAACAGTAAACATGGAAACAATTAAAATGCCTTAAAATTAAATGAACAAACATACATTGTGATACAGACATATGATATCATGCAAACATATAAGGAACGTGTTTGAAGAACATAATGTGTGAAACAGGACATAAACATAGTTCTGTTTTATTTTAGCATACATATGTGTTTATGCACACACACACACACATACATGTATATGTATATGCAGGAAAAATTATGAAAAGGGAATCACAATCACATGAAGGTTTTTGTTTTGGGGTTTTTTTGTTTGTTTTTTGTTTTTTTTTTTGGTCAGCCTGGCAGTATCAGTCCACTGCTTTCTGGCCTCTCAAGTCCCAGAAAAGCAGTATGCTGATATGTTATCAGTGGTTCCTTACGTGTTCGGTGTTCGGTTTCTTCTCTCTTGCTTCTTTCAAGATTCTGTTATACTGTGTTTTGAAACTGAGTTCATCTTGGAATTTATTGATTTATTTTCATTCATGTCTTTCATCAAAATTTGAAAGTTTGGGGGGACTGAAATGGGAAATATTCCATTATATTTCATGCATGTGTGATTATGGCAAAATGAACCCCACTAATATGTGTAACTATAATGTACTAATAAAAACAGGTAATAAAAAAAAACTTGAAGTTTTCAGGCATTATTTCTTCAGATTGTCTCTCTTCCCCTTTCTTTTTCTTCTTCTTAGACTCCCACTATGCATATTTTAGACTGCTTGATGGTATCCCAGGATCCTTTAGGATCTGTTCACTTTTCTATAGTCGACTTTCTGTTCTTCAAGCTAATTTCCATTGTTGATTTTTCAAGTTTTTGTATTCTGCCTGCTCAAATTTGCCTTTGAATCCTTTAAGTGACTTTAAATTTTCAGTTATTGGGGGCTGGGGCTGGGGCTTAGTGGCAGATCACTTGCCTAGCATGTGTGAGGCACTGGGTAAGATCCTCAGCACCACATAAAAATGAAAGAAATAAAAGCACACTTTCCATCTACCACTACATATATATTTTTTTAATTTAGTTAGTGTATCTTTCAGCTCCAGAGTTTTTGTTTGATTTCTTTTTTAGGTTTTCTGTCTAGTCATGATATTTCCATTTACTTCTTATATCATTTTATTGGCTTTCCCCACACACATCTTCCTTTAGTTCCTTTAGCATCTTTAAGCTAGTTACTTTAAAGTCCTTGGATCTGCTATTGGATCTTTTTCAGGTACAGGTTTTGGTTTTGTTTTCTTCTGGTGATCAGATTCTCCAGGGTTTGCTGGGGGTTTTGTTTTTCTTTTTTCTTTCTTCTTTTTTTTTTTTTTTTTTAAACTGTGGGCCAGGGATCAGCCTGAGATATAGACTTAAGGTATATTCTTAGTCTGTGACTTCCGCTGGATATATGGTTACTTATACTTACTAGTGTATGTGCAGTTGCTTTCAAATATCCTAATCTTTAATATCTGCCTTCAAGAAGGAGAAAACAAGAGAAATAAAGAGAAAGAGAAAAAAGGGCATTGGACCTATAAGTCCCCCAGAAGATACTTTAGCCACAGTAGGAGGGGCAGTAACAAGGCCTCTTTGCCTACATTTCTGCTATGGAAGGCAGCAGTCAGTGATCAGATCATAGATCTCTAGTACTTTGGGGAGAATGCTGGCCTCCACACGTTGTATGCAGATTATTCTAGAAACACTGCCTAGCTTCCTGCTGTGGGGCTGGGGTAGAAAATGGGCTGCAGTGCCAAGAGCTGAAATTGATAGAAATTAATTACATTTTCCTGGAAATTGTAAGTCTGCAATATACTGCAGAATTCTAAAGTAATTATTATCACTCAGATTCTACCAAAGTTAGTTGCTGCTAGGTGGGAAAACAGATTCCATGTACTTTCTACTCTGCCATCTTCCTGGAATTCTATTATTAATTTTTTTCTTACAAAGAAGTAAAACTCTTTAATTCTCAATGATTTTGAAATTGTGTAAATTAGTATACTAAATAAACATATCAGTCATTGAATAATCAAGATCATTTTGTATTGTCATTTGACAGTCACATACTGCCTTACAAAGCAAGGACTTGACTGTGTTATTTGTGATGATTATATTCTATTCCATTATACCATAATATATTTACCATTTCCCTTCTTGATGGTTTTCAAACTATTGAAGATAATTTTATACTAAAATTTTTAAAAATCTTACCTTGAATCTTGTGTTGATTCTTAAAATTAGAGTTGTAAAGGTGTAACTAGGTTGGGTATTTTTGTAGGATCTTACATATCTTCTAGAGCAATTGTGCCATCTCACAATCCTTATACAATAGTTTAATAACAATGATTTTTAAATCTCTTCTATTCCTTAAAACTAAATCAAAGAAAAATCTCACATCAATGGAACTGCTATTCTTTTTCATATAACTGACAAATACAGATCTTTTAGTGTAAAAACAATTTTTAAAACAGGCTCATCATTATGTCGTAGGACCTGAGACTTTGCACATAGTATAGAGCCTCCTTCCCAGAGTGCCTATCAATCAGTTTAATAGGGGAAAAAAGCAAGCCACATAATGTGAAGTTAATTCAATTACATGAGGGCCAGGAAAGGAGATCTGTAAAACATGGGGAGCTCTGTGCTGCAGAATCCAAGGGAAGCAATATAGGCAAGAGAGCTGGGGATTCTGAGAGATGGAGGAGAGAAGGCAAGAAAAGCAGGGAGGAGTCTCCAGGAGAAAGCAGAAAAAAATAAAAGAAAAAGGAAAGTTAAAAGGCTTTCCTGAATCTTAGAAATAAGCCACTGCTTCAAACTTCTCATTACAAGAAAGCTTAGCAGGTCTTAAAGCAGCAATAATAACTGCCAGCACTCACACACACCACACTGATCTACACATTTCACAAGAATCCACCTCTCTGTGAGGTGGGCGCTACCAGAGTTAGTAAGTAGCCTATAGGCCCAGGGCTCCCAGCTGCAGAAGTGGGATTCAGCTCATGTATCTGTGTAGCTCCACAGCTTGGGCTCTAACCTCTAGGCCCATGATTCAGACCAATTATTAAACTAATTTAATATTAAGAGTACAGTCTAATATAAAAGATCACAATATAATATATGAAGTCATCTGTCTCAAATAGGCTATTTTAATGGTTTTTAAAAAATGACAAAAGGACAATCTTTATTTCAGTTCCAAGTTTTTTKTTTTTTTTTTTTTTTTTTTTTTTTTGGTGTGTGTGTATGTGCACACGTGTATAGGTGTACTTAAGAAAAGCATTCTGTGCCTAGAATTAATAACTTGAAAGATGTCCTGTTTTTTCCCTGAGATTTCTTAACATTATCAGACAATGGTTTCTGTGCACTTTATGCTAAACTACTATGCTAAGCACTACTTGATTTAAAATGCAGGGGACACTTCATAGCAATTCCTAGGACTACAGAAAACCATTAAATTCCCTGGAAAAGTGTCCTGGTAGAGGAACAGAAGGTCATGTGGCTATATTCTTGATAAAAATCAAATTGAACAGTGAAGTCTACAATAGGAAGAAGATATCAGTGTCAGCGAGTTGTGAGGACCCCTCAGAGCGAACCCTCAAGCTGGCTCCTGGGGTCTTCCCTGGCAGCAATGTGAAATCTAAGTGTGTCAGTCAGCTTCTCACCATTGTAACCAAAAATTTGACAAGAACAACTTGAAGGAAGGTTATTTTGGCTCGTGATTTCAGAGGTTCTCAATCCATGGTTGGTCAATTCCACTGCTCTGGACTGGAGGTGAGGCAGCTTCAATATTTATGAAGTACTTACCCATCAAAGTACAAAATGTCCTGCTCTAGTAATGTAGCCAGATGGGATTTAAGGCCAGTTTGGGTAGTAAAGAAATTAACTGACAGCAGAAAATCTTTGATTTTTAGGAAATATGTTTTCCGAAGAAGCAAGTGTTCTATTAAATTGTTACAGCATCTTAATAAAACAGAAGATACCTTTAGTATCTGTTATTGTCATTGAGGATTTGATTTCAGTAATATTTAAAGTAGGTATTAAAATGAAATTTAAATACATAATCTAGGAGGCAATAATTTTTTCTATCAAACTACATTATTTTAAATATAATTTTAATACTTGGCCTTCTCATATCTGTTATTTAAAAATGGCATACATGGGGCTGGGCACATGGCTCAATGGTAGAGAATGTGCAGGGCTCAAGCACCGCAACGCACACACACACACACACACACACGTGATGTAAATTCCCAATGTTAGCAATGTGTGAAATCTGAAATCAAAATTGTCCAGAAACTTTTCCTGGGTTCTTTGTACTTCAGAAGTTTTTGTTACTGTTTTGATGGTGTTTGTGTTTATTCTTTTCTACTGCCTTCCCCTCTTAAATTTCTTTTCATTTTCTCAGGTCTTTACTGTTACTTGTGAGWTTTTGAAGCAACATAAAATGTTTTCTAAAATACATGAAGCTAATTATCACAAGTCCTAAATTTGAGCCCTTCTTCTGCCATCTTTTAGCTCTTAAAGGAAATATATTTAATCTTCTATTACTCTTGATAGGAGACCACATCAAATGCCCTTGAAGTCTATCGTGGCTCAGGAGTCAAGATTCATTTCCTGGGCCATGGGTAAAGTTTACATTTCATAGGAGCCAAAAAAGCTTTTCTCTTCAGCTGCACTTTCCATTGAGTTCTCCTCTCACCTCTACTTACTTTATTTTACCCACGTCTGCTCTCCTGGACAATTCGTGTAGGGTTAACTGGGGTTAACTGGTGGCCAAAGAGAGTTTGGAATCTGTTCCTTTTTCTTCCCAGCTATGTGATCTTGGAAACTTCTGTGAGTTGATTTACTCTTAAAAGTTCTGTTCAGTTCACCAACTGGGTTCTAGTATAGACCTCAGGGTACAGAGATGAAAAGGAGCCTCCTCATTCTGATACTACTCTGTTTTTAACACAGTAGAAAAGATAGGCAAAAAGTAGAATTGCAATGAAGTTTTGAAATGACAATATATTATGTGGGGAGATTTGTTTATTATGCCCCTTCCCTTTACCCTATCCCCATGATGTAATGAATACTGCTTCATTAGCTGAGAGACTAGCTAGAGGAAGAGGTGCTTCTTGTTCCTGGTCAGGAAGAATGACTGGCAGCTTACTAGTCCAAGTGTGGGAAGGATAAGCAGGCATAGTGGGAGCCTATGCACAAAGGAACATGGTACATTCAGAAAACCACAAACGTTGTGTGTAGCCAAAGCATAGGATATTATGTCAGTGGTCAGATTTTGGTGAGTCCTATTTATATGTTATGCAAAGGGTTTTGGTGTTTTTTTTTTTTTTTTTGTACTGGGGATTGAACCCAGTGATGCATAACCAATGATCCACATCCCAGATTTTTTTAAATGTTTGAGATAGGTTCACACTAAGTTGCGTAGGGCCTCAGTAATTTGCTGGGGCTGGCTTTGAACTTGTGATCCTCCTGCCTCACCTGAGTCACTGGAATTACAGGTGTGTGCCACCATGCCTGGCCAGAGAAATTTTTTAAACATATTTTATGAAAATTTAAATGTGTAAAAGTAAGAAATAATATATTATTTTATTATTATTATTATTATTATTATATTATAAATAATATAATAATATAATGAATGCCTGTGTCATCACCTGTTTCATTAATTACCAACATTTTTCTACCCTTTTCCATCACTGACTCTCTCCCATTCCCTTATCTGTAGTGTTGATATGAAAAGTGGCTAGCAGTGACTGGTAAATAATGGGCAAGTGGAAGATGTGAGTTTCTTTGCTTCTGTGTATGTTATTTGTCTCAAACTCACTTTCCATTAGCCTCAGCTCTGAAAAAATTGAGTTGTTCCTTCCTCCTGAAATCACTAGTCAGGGAGAATCTTTACTTTTAAATGACAAAGAATCCACTTTTCTTTTGGATATTTAAGGTATATACACTCATATTTTATCCCTGTAAAGCCCTTTGAGGTATAGGCATGTGTTCGTTGGTATCTTCATCGCACCGCTTAATCCTGAGCCGACCACAGAAACAGTGTGCCGTATGTATTTATTAAGGTGAATTAAGTTTCTGGCTTCTTCCCATATGCTCAGTGCATTTTAATCTTAAGACCCAACCATGGATATATGTTTCATATCATCTTTTTCTTAATTTCTTCTAGAAAGAAAGCTTTTAAACTCCTTTTTTCCATTTCTAATAGCATGTTTAGGATGTGAATTTGAATTTTTTTAAAAAATTAGTTTGTATTTAATGTTTCAAATTATTCTGCTTGGGGAACTAATGCATCTAGAAAATAAGAATTACAGATAATTGGGGGAATCACATCCCAAATCTAATCTTTGCTTCTGTTTCTTCCCCAGGGCCTGCTCTCTTTCCTGAGTGCCCCCCTCATAGGCGCTCTGTCCGACGTGTGGGGGAGGAAGCCTTTTCTCCTTGGCACTGTGTTCTTCACCTGCTTCCCTATCCCACTGATGAGGATCAGCCCGTGGTGAGTGGCTTAGCTCTTCACTATTGTACCAGTCTGTTTTGAGTCATGTGAGAATAATTGAAGTTAAGCAGCCCTAATCCAAAAATTTGAAATTCTCAATGCTCCACACTCCAAAGATTTTCAACCACTGACACGACCATTCTGGTGGTTTGTGTACACAAACTTGGTTTCATGTCAAAAATATTACATAAAATTACCTTCAGGCTATGTGTATAAAGTATGTATGAAACATGGATGAATTTCCTGTTTAGACTTGGTGTCACCCCCAAGATATTTCATGGTGTTTATGTTCATATTCCAAAAGAAAAATCGATCTGGTCTCAAGCATTTCTGAAAGGCATACTCAACCTGTACTTAACTTTTAATTTTTATTTTTTAGTTGTCAGTGGACCTTTATTTAATTTATTTTTTTATATGTGGTGCTGAGGATCGAACTCAGTGCCTCACATGTTATAGGCAAGAGCTCTACCACTGAGCCACAACCCCAGCCCCTGTACTTAACTTTTGTAGGTAACTTCAAAACCATTTCAAAGCATTTGTACCTGTGCTTTCATTTGTTCTGTTTGGTACTGCCAAAAGCCAGTTTGGGCTATGGACATCCATGCCCATTTTATAAATGAGAAAGGAAAAGGTTCACAGAATTAACTCTCAGATAAATTACTTAGGTAAATAAATAGAAATAAAAGGCAGATATTATTACCATCACTTATAGGAGTGCCATCTTGGGAGTAGCTAACAACCCCCTTGCATCACCACTGTGGCTCATGGATATTGCAAATATACTGTTTTTGTCAGCTCATGGCTTTGGGGCACACCTGAGCATAGTTTGTTTCATAATAGATAGGAGTTACCTTTTTCTGTAGTATGGTAGGACTGATAGTCCATTCTGAATCATAATATGAATTTAAATTTGAGTTCAGTTTTTCCCCTTAAGTGCAATAAATCTAGCAGGTAGCCAAACTCTCTTTATTTACCATAGAGGGGTGGGAATTTATACATCCTCTGGAGGCCAGAGCGTGGTATTTTGGGCACTATTCATGCTGCTGAGATGCCCTTTCTATGGAAATACAACACTTAAATCTGGAAAATTTCTTTCGGTGGAGTGTTTTGTTTGTTGGTATTTTGATATGGTGCTGAGAATCAGAATTTTGGGATGAATATTCCACCACTGAGCTACATCCTCAGACTTGTTTTGGTTTTTAATGCAGTTAATAGATTCATAGGGTTTGTTTGTTGCCTTGTGTAAAAATACTTTTATTTGATTTTTGACAGGCATTTCATGTCAACATTTGTTACATTCTAGTAACAAATGGGCCAGGAGTGGTGATGCACACCTGTAATCCTAGCAACTTCAAGATCCTGACTAAAATATAAAAAAAGGGCTGAGGATGTAGCTCAGTGGTAGAGCACCCTGAGTTCAATCTCTAGCACCAAAGAAATAAAAACAAGTAAATTTGTTGGGTTCCAATAATCATTTTATTTTCTACCAAGTGATAAAATTTTATAATCTACTACTGATACTGAATCTTCATGTCCAAGAACATATTGTGCTTTGCCAATTAGTTTGGGCTTTGTTTTTTTGTTCGTTTGTTTGTTTTGTCTTTTGCTAGTTTGTTTGTTTTGTCTTTTGCTAGCTTAAAATTCTTTAGATCTGTACATTTGTTGGTAAGTTTTATTCTTGTAAATCTTGCCCTTTCTGTTTTATTCCAGAATGGGCTTTTTTCTTAAAATTGCTTGACTTTCTAAGTATATTAATGTCATTTGTAAATAATATTTTATCTTTTTCCTCCCCRTCATTATACTGCTCCCTGATTTTGTTAATTTTGCTGACTAATGAATAAGGTTGAAGTGATGATTGTGGGTTGTTCCTCAGAGGTGTGAGGGGAATGTTGCAGTGTTTCACCCTTAGATCCGAGGCTAGCTTTTGTGTTGAAAATTACTCATTCCTATTTTATCCAGCGATTTTCTTTTGTTAAATCAAGGTTGGCTATGAAAGTTTATCGAATGGATTTTTAGCATGAATGGAGATTATTTGCTTTTTCTCCTTATGAGTTATAATAGGATTAATTATATTACTCTGTTTCCTAATATTGAAATATTCCTGTTGCCTGGAATGAACTCTACTTTTTTCTAAGAGTCTGTTTGCTAATATTTTAACTAGGGTTTTTTGTTGTTGTTGTTTTATCTTGTTTTGTTTTGATTGTTTGCTTTTTGGAGTACAGGGGACTCGACCATTGAGCCACTTCCCCAGCCCTATGTTGTATTTTATTTAGAGACAGGATCTCCCTGAGTTGCTTAGCTCCTCACTTTTGCTGAGGCTGGCTTTGAACTCTTAATTCTCCTGTCTCAGACTCTCAAGCCGCTGGGATTGCAGGTGGGTACCACTGTGCCCGGCTTAATTAGGTTTGCATCTGTGCATATAATAGACATTTTTGGTCTTAATTGCATTGATATTTTTGTTATGCTTTTTCCTTTTATGTAGATTTTTAAAAATCATTTGTCATATATGTCCTTTTCTTAATTAAAGCAAGAAAATTTGAAAGATTTTTATTCTGTTGGCTACCTTTGAAACTATATACCTAAAACTGTTAACTTTTACTCAGTACCTTTATTCTTTTTTCTCTTGTTTTTTCATTTTTTTAGACCAAATGTATCCCTTTGAGCAATAACAGTGTCTTCCTCCTCATCGTAATTTTTCTGCCTTTAAATATACATTACCTATACATGTGAATTTACTTCTTGGTTTGTAATCTTTACATGATGTCTTTGGTGCTGGTATAAAGCTATACATAAATGCCTCTCCTGGGTAATAAAAATAATCTTTTTATAGGTGGTATTTTGCGATGATTTCTGTGTCTGGAGTCTTCTCGGTCACATTCTCTGTGATATTTGCCTATGTAGCTGATGTCACTCAGGAGCACGAGCGAAGTACTGCTTATGGATGGGTAAGATAGTGACTTAATTTTTTTAAATTGGAGTGATATTTAACATTCTATTAGAGATTCATTGGGAAGTAAGATTTAAAATACAACTCAGAAAAAAGTGGAATTACAGAGGTGTTAGAGCCTGAGTGAGTTAATCTATCGTTACTCTGTAGCTGGTTGAGTGTCTTGGGCACTCATTTGATTTATAGTACTGTAGAAAAATAACTATTCATTCAGGCAGCAAATAGTTGTTGAAAAATAACAAAAGTTATAGGGGAGTATGATAATTTGGTTTATTAGACCATCTTTCTGATATTCTCAGACATGATAAATGGTATTGTGGTTATGTAGGAGAAGAAAGACCTATTAGAAGATGACAGCTGAAGCATTTTGGGTCAGTGTCACAACTCTGCAAATTACTTTCAAGTAGTTCAGGGAAAAAGAGCATAAGCACATGTGGATGAACCACATGAACATGTGCGGGCCCGTTTTCCGTGCCTGAACCTGTTGGTACATACATGTGAGTGTGCATAGTACCCTTCTTCCAAATTCCTCTAAATGAAAATGTTCAAAACAATAATAAGAATAATGATGATCTGGCTGGATTGTGGAGAATAATAGGTTAGAGGGGAATGAATGTCAGAAACCCAGGTAATTACTCTTTTCTTTAAATCCCACTTCCTGGAATAGAGTTAAGTATACCTTCACTGTTACTAAGTGCATAAGTTCACGAATCAGGGATGGGCATGTAGACAAATGTCCACCCTTCCATAAGACAAAGCAATTTTTACTTTGTCAGCTTTAGATATCAGTAGTTCAAAAACTTTTCTTTCATTCAGCCCCTCCTCCCTCAACTGCCACCTGCTCGCTCTCCTTCCTTCTTGAATTCTTCCCATGCATGTCTGTCATGCCCTATCCTGAAACAAGGGCATCTGTAGAGCGTTGTGAGGACAGAGGAGAAAGCTGACAGGGTGGCCTCAAACAAGGCAGGATATTCAAGGTGGCATGTAGGGTTGGCCCTCAGAATGGTACAGAGTGCCAAGAGCTTGTTCATCGCAGTAACATAGCTTTCTTCTGCACCATGGGAAATGCCTGCAGAGACACTCATTTCCCTGTGATTTTATGAGATTTCTGTCCCTTGCTTTCATCAGGAAAACTATTCACAAAGCTATGGGGCTGAGCAGCAATTCTCAAGATTTTTGAGAGAGTGAGTTCTGAAATAATCACCAGAAATGACTCTGACTTACCTTCTTAGCTTAGCTCATCATCATAAGGTGCCATCACCTAAGATGGCAGTTTAGATTAGTGCCTACTCATGGGGCACTGAGAGAAGCCAGTGGGTGCACATCCTAGCTGAGTCAGGGCCCTGCTGAAGTATCCCAGCCAGCTCCAATGATTCAGCAAGTAGACTGTTGGATTTATCCCTTGACCAGTGACTACCTTGACATTTGCCCCTTGCAGCCTACCTGTCTTACAGAGATAGGTGAATTTATTGCAATTTCCTTTCAGGATGTGTGAGTTCAATTCTAAAAAGCATTTTGAAATCCATTGAAGGATAATATATAATGTATATGTACCTTCATTACTAAACTTTCTCTAGTAAACCAAGAAAGGATAATTTTTTTCCAGGCCACAGCAGTGAATAGTCCTGTTAATGAGTAAATTAATGCTCACTGAGAGTTTGTTGTGATGAAGTCATTCTTTAGATTTATTCACCAGAGTCCTGTTGAATGTTATGTGAAGAGGCATTTAGATTTAAAACATCAATAAAAAAACTAAACAAGGAGGCTTCTTTAAATTTTTAAAAAGGCAAAACATTGCAAAAGGTGGTCATTAGTTTTTTGACATCATAGATTTGCTCTCTATGCAGTGATGCTCCCTTAACCCCGAGGATTCTACCCCAGTGCTCCCACAGAACCTGAAGAGAGTTAAGCATTGCTTTCATCATTGTTCACATGCCACTGCAATTTACAGTGGTGGTCCTAATCTTCTCAAATTAAGTGGAAAGAGCAGGAGCTTTGTTATCTTTTTCGATTGATATATAGTAGGTACTCACTAAACACTGAAGAAAGGAATTCTTAATTCCCAAATTGGAATTAACATTACCACCCCCTCTCCCTGCCTTCTTTTTTTTCTCTTTGTTTTTCTTTCTGTCTCCAGAAATGCTTTGCTTTGACTTTTGGCTTCTATAGTGTTTTGGCTATGATAGAATTTCAGATTTGTTGAATTTTAAATTAAACTGGGGGATGAAAGATGATAGAAGAACATCATCGGCTTACCAGGAATCATAATTCTAATCATGGGTGATGATTTCTGTTAAGATCTATTAGAAGTTTAAATACCTTACACATATGTTTTTGCTACTCAATTTGGTTGTAATTTGAAGTCTGCCCAATAAGCTTCTGAGTGTTCACAGTGCGTTCTAAAGTATGGGAATGTAAGAGCACAGTGGGAAGAGACTCAGTGTGGCTTCAGATTGAACATGCCATTGACTGGCTCTGTGGTCTGTATTGGACAGTTGATAGGGTTATGAAATCCATAGTTCACTTCTAATCAGAAAGAAAACTTCCCAACACATTTTGCATTCTTTTTTTATTATAGTTTTTTCTCCTAAGAATATCAGGGTTTTTCTTCACTCTGGGTGCTAATAAAATGGTCACCAAATGGTGAAATAGTGCCAGGTTTTTGAAAGATGAATCCGACACACTCCCTGAGAAATTTGTAGGTTTTATCATCAGCTCTACAGGGATTATTTTTATACCCTTCTCCATGCATCTCCATTCTCCAGTTAAAGACCAGAGTGAATGTTTTATTTATGGGGTAAGTTTTTACAATTTTAATTTCTGATATTTTTTACTCCCCATAGCTCTCTAGGATATCTCCAGTTAGTTAACAAACTAATTTATTCACAAGTAAATAAATGTGAATAAATTATTAAACAGAATTACTTTAATTCTTTTTCATTCTTCAAATTTTTATGCAACAGATTCTTTTTTCTTGTTTAAAGCCAGGAGAAAGGATTGGTGTAGGGGTCCACCTGGGGGACCCTGGGTGAGAGAGTGCTTTTTCACAGGTGTGCTCCTACAGCAGGCAGGACTCTGGGTAGGAACATGTTTTCTCTACAGGTGTTCACCTGTGCCACCCTAAGTGACAGTGCACTTTCCCACAGGTCTCAGCCACTTTTGCAGCTAGTCTGGTCAGCAGCCCTGCCATTGGAGCATACCTTTCTGCGAGTTATGGAGACAGCCTCGTTGTGCTAGTGGCCACAGTGGTGGCTCTTCTGGACATCTGTTTCATCTTGGTGGCTGTTCCAGAATCTTTGCCAGAGAAAATGAGACCGGTTTCCTGGGGAGCTCAGATTTCTTGGAAACAAGCAGACCCTTTTGCGGTAAATTGAAATATTCACTTTGTAAATGTCTGTCTATGGCAAGCAAATAAAATAATAAGCATGCAGCCGCGAGGATCCCAGCAGATAGATCTATTGCTTTCTCCAGTAAAAATAGAAAAATCTTAAATTACAAAATATGTAGAATTGGTACCTAAGCCAAGCATGTTATACAAAAGAGAAGATAAAAATCCAGTTAATCTCTGATGACAGTTTATGAAAGAAGTTTCTTTTTGCATAGTTGTTTTCATTCTTTTTTTTTTTAAGTAAATTAAGTGAAGGTGGTCATCTGAAGTGAGTTCACTTTAATTCAAAAAGGAGGATGCATTTGATCTGACTAAAATAGTTATTTTCTAAATTGTTAATATACATACACTATGACCAGAGGCTGTGAACCTAGATTTTGCTATTAATTATGTAAAAAAAATTTTTGGTGAGTCGGGAGGTGGTAAAGGATATACTTCACTAACAATCAGAAAAAATGCTGAGAAAAGTATCTTATCTCTTCCCCAATCCCTTTCTAGTTTGGAATTATTCTTGAAAGAAATACATGTGGGGGGAAAAAGAACCAGAGACTTGATTTTTGCTTTTTTGTCCCCCAAGTTTACCTTTTAGGAAAAATACAAATAAAATTGAAATGTATTTCATCAAAGTTTTTTTCTAAAATGCCCACTCAGAGCATAACCTGGTTGACCTTGTCTGTTCTTTTTGGGCCAGAATGTCAGAAAACAAAGAAGGAGTTTGTGAGAGGAAACAGGAGTGACCAGGAAGCCCGTCAATTAGGCTTCCCACCATTGTCATATGGTGATCAAGTTTGTCACAGAGGCTTCTCTGTAAAGTGGAACTACTGTGGCTTACTTTTCAGGGGAGTTGAGAACTGTACAGTTCACATGTATCAGTGAACTAATGTCTGGTATGAAGCAAAGTCTCAACAGACATTGGCTGTTTTTTTTTTCTTTAATTGTTTAAAATATATACATATATTTTAGTTGTAGATGGACACATTACCTTTATTTATTTATCTTTATGTGGTGCTGAGGATCAAACCTAGTGCCTCACGTGTGCTAGGCAAGCACTCTACCACTGGGCCACAACCCCAGCCCTCATTGGCTATTTTTGCTATTAATTATATAAAAGTTACAGGATGGTGACCTAGCTGTGCAGCAGCACTTTCCATTCCTTCAGTAACAGTACACCTTTTGGTTCTGTTCAGTTACTGTGTAAATAAAAAGGATTTTTCAACAAAGTTGTAATGTTCAAAAGGCTCTTACTGGTTTGAAGCATATTTTTTTTTGTCTACTAGGTTTACAGGTAAATTGAAATCAATATTTTGAAGGCTAGAATGAACTTAGGTGTAATGAAAACCCTATAGTGGTATGATCTTAAAGAAGTCATATTATAAATCAAGAGAGAAGGGGCTGGGATTGTGGCTCAGTGGTAGAGCGCTCACCTAGCACGGGCGGGACCCAGGTTCAATCCTCAGCACCACATAAAAATAAAGGCATTGTGTTGTGTCCATCTACACCTAAAAAAATAAATATTAAAAATAAAGATAAATCAAGAGATAAAAGTGATTTTCTTCAGTGAATCTATAGAAATACATTTTCAGGGCCTGTTTATAGGATATTTGGGACCTGTTAGGGGTGTGAACCAGTGTTAACAAAGGTGAGCAAGTGCTTTTTAAAAAGCTGCAATCCTGGAAATACATACTTCTAAAATAAGAACTTAAAACTTCCACAGAGAGCTGATTATAGATTTCATATTAAGGCTGACTTCCTTTTATAATGCATTGGACTTTCATTATCCATCTTAATAGATCAGCTTAGTGAACCCATATTCCAAATGTTGGTGACATTATATCTATTAGCTTTTTATGTTGCTTTCTGCTTATTCCCAGTCATTGAAGAAAGTTGGGAAAGATTCTACTGTCTTCTTAATCTGCATCACCGTGTTTCTTTCGTATCTTCCTGAAGCTGGACAGTATTCAAGTTTTTTTCTCTATCTCAGGCAGGTAAGTAATGGATGTCTAGTGGCATCTGAACATGAGTAACAGCAAAGATTGGAATCTATCCAAGGATAATTTAGGAAAACTCTATAGAGAAGAAAATGTGAACTTGCTTCTAGTTATTAGTGCTGACAGAGAGTTAATTCAATGATGACTTAAAAGGCGGCAAAAAGCCAGGTGCAAAATGAATTGTAATGCATTCTGCTGTCATATATAAAAGAAGCCAGATGCGGTGACACATGCCTGTCATCCCAGCTACTCAGTTGAGGCAGGAGGCTCACTTAAGCTCATAACTTTGAGACCAGCCTGGGCAACATAGCAAGATCCTGTATCAAAACATAATAATAAAATAAAATCTAGCAAGATATCTACTTTGGAAAAATCCTTTTGAGAATTATACAGAGAGGATTAGCAGAAATAGAATTTACTGTAATTTTTTAAGTCTTTTATTGAGCAGTTTTAGGTACACAGCCTCTTCCACTATCAACATCCTGGCACCAGAGTGGTCTTTTTGTTAGAATTGATGAACTACATGAAYGCATTAGCCTCACTCAGAGTCTGTAGTTTACATTAGGCTTCACTTCTTGGTGTTGTACATTCTGTGGGTTTATACAAAAGTACAATGACATGTTTCCAGCATTTTAGTGTCAGAGTATTATCATGCCCTAAAGTTCCTTATGCTCTGCCTATTCATCCCTCCCCTTAACCACAACTCCTGATCTCTTTAACTATCTCCATAGTTTTGCCTTTGCTAGAATGTCATAGGGTTGGAATTGTACCATTTATAGCCTTTTTAGAGTGACTTCTCTCACTTAGTAATATGCATTTAAGCATCCTTCATGTCTTTTCTTGGCTTGTTATTCATTCTTTTCATAGTTCATTTCAGCAATTGGGTGTTCCATAATGTATTCATTCACCTACTGAAGGATACCTTGCTTGCTTCCAAATTTCAGCAGTTATGAATTAAGAAGTTAGATACATCCATATAGCATGATGTTTTAAATTCATGACAGTATCCATGAGCTTTCACCTGGGTCTGATTATAGCCATCTTGCTGACCCAGCCTCATTGCTGGCTTCTCAGCTGCTGCTCTGGACCTCAAGATGGTTCACAAGCAATAAATGGAATTTATTCTCTCTGCCGATATTTTTATCTTTAGAAGTATATACCTATTTTACCCTCACCCAGATAGGTGACTGATTAAGATAATTACAACAAACATTACCCTTCCTTGTCTAGCTGTTCTTCTGGTCTCTGGACTTGCATAGACCTGACCTACTTTTCATTTGGTCCTGCCCTATTATTGATTTCACAGGAAAGGTAGAACTGTCCTCCTTCTAAGATAAATTCTCCTAGTTTTTGTAGATACTTTTAAATGAATATTTCCCTTGGTGCTGGGCATTGAACCCAGGGCATTGGGCTTGCTAGGCAAGCATTTTTAAGCTGAGCTACAACTCCAGCCCCCAAAGTGAAGTTTGATGAAATCTCATCTGCTGGTTTTCCTGAGAAGAATGGCAAGATAGTGTTTAATATAGAAAACTATGCTTTCATTTATAATTAAATTAAATGTGCACTTAATATAGACAGAAATGTAGGTAAAATAGGAAAACCCAAGGAACAGAGTAAAAAAGAATCAGATCTCTTCATATAGATAATAAACAACTACAATTCTAATCTTTTTCCTATACTATGTTCATTTTGCCACAACCATCACCAATTATAGCAGCAAATCAGAATTATTCCATGTTATTTTATGTTTATGCTTGCTTTTAAGAGTAATTAACACAAACCATTTTCTTACATTTGATAAGGATCTTGTATCCAAAATATATATAGAATTCTTTCATTAATAAAAAGACAACCCAATTGAAAATATAGGTTATTTCTCCAAGAAAGATACACAGAAGACCCATTAACACATGAAAAGATGCACTTTATTAGCTGTCAAGGGAGTGCAAATCAAAACAAGGTTTCACTTCACATACACTAGAATGGCTATAATAAAAAAGAAAGGGATGTAGAAAAATCAGAACCTTCAGACATCCTGGTGGAAACGTAAAATAGTATGGAATGGTGTAGCTGCTGAAAAGAGGAAGAATCTAGCAGTTCTTCACAATGCTCAATGTAGAGTTACCACAGGACCCAGCAGATCTACTCCTAGGTATATATCCATGAGCAATAAAAGCACAGAACTTGTAAACAGATCATTATTCACGGTAATCAAAAAATAGAAACAATGCAAATATCCATTAACTAATTGAACAAATTAGCAAATGTGTTCTATCCATATAATAGAATATCATTCAGCAATAAAAAACAATGAAGTACTGATATGCCCTACAACAACATGAAAGCACTATACTAAGTGAAAGAAGCAGTCACAAACACCCTGGTGTTATATGATTCCGTTTATATAAAATGCCAGAGACAGGAAGCGGGTTAGGGGAGAGGTAGTCTGGGGGAATGGATCTCTTGATGGGTGCTGTGATTTTTCCAGGAGTGGTGAAATCTTTTTAAATTAATCTTGGTGATTTGTTACCCAACTCTGTGAATGTACTAAAATCTTTGAATTGTTCACTTATAATAGGTGAATTGTATGCTATTTAAACTATCTCCATAAAACTATTAAAAATACTCTGTATTTATAAATGTAAGCTGAGAATCCCTAAATAAAGCTGAATTCTCAGGTTCCATTTTTTTTTTAATTGCATGTAATTAGATGGTAATAGAATATTGTTACTATCAACAGCATTGATTTGGAATTCTAGCCCTAGCACTTTGTAGATGGACACAATACCTTTATATAGTTGTGAGATTGGGAGCAAGATACTTATAAAATGAGAAGAATATATAAAATTATTTTAAAATACTTGTTCTGAATTTTATAGAATTGAATAATTATGTCCTTTTCAAATTTTAGTGTTTAAAGCTTAAGAATTTTAGGCATTTTAGAGCTAATGTGAAGATTAGAGTGCTTAGAAGTCATTGCCAGCCCACTTCTGCTGCTTACTCATTAGAAGTGCCATGGGAGCTTCTTAGAACAACCTGTCTCTGGGCCAGACTTTGGAGTCTGATATCATCAGTCTCCAGTGGACTCCAGCATCTCATTGCTCTCTACTTCCTTCCCTTTTCCCCCCACACGATTTTAATATGCAGCCATAATTGATAGCCACTGACTCCGTTGGTGAGCAGATTTGTATTTGCAATATCAAAAGTCAAGCCATTTTCTTTCATAATTTCTCTGTTGCATATTATTGCTAGATTTGTCAATTTATAAGTTGGAAGTGGAGAGGAAATAAACAAGGTAGCTATATAGTAAGAAATATTATCAAAATAACATTTTACAATTTAAGATGTGCCTGCTTATAATGATTTCTTAGATTTATATATAAAATACTGGTTAAGTAGGTTCAGGTTTCAGCACTGATCTAATTTGCCATTGATTTTATGAACTTTCCTCAACTATTTTATCCTGTTTTAAAAGAACTTATCTTTCTTACTTAGATATTTTCTTTCATTTCCTTAGGTCATAGGCTTTGGATCTGTTAAAATTGCAGCATTCATTGCTATGGTAGGAATTCTGTCTATCGTAGCTCAGGTGAGTATAATTTCACCCATGCTTTAAAAAAAAAAAAAAAGTATTCACAGGAAACACATATACAAGGATAGGGAGAGCCTCTGAATTGCTGCCTCAGTCCCTGTGCTCCTGCTGTGACACACCTTATACAATTAGAGTATAACATCAAATCCAGAAATTTGATGGGAACATGACCCACAAAACTTTCCCTTTTTTACAAGAGTATTGAATTCAGGACTTAAGAAGGAACTTCATACTATTTTAGTAGAATTGTAACTTGCTGGGTCAGCTCTTTTATTTGCCTCTAAAACAAAGAAAATTGTAAGTAACTATGATATAATTCTTAGATATTGCAAAATTAACTAGAAAAATGTTTCAGTGTTAATAGTGAAAAGTAAGTAGAAATAAGTAACAATAGCTTTTCCAATTCTACTATTCCTAGGACAAAAAAAATGAGAGTCATTGAGTTAGAATATATGCAGTGACTAAAGGAGTATTCAGTATTTTCCCATCTGTTATAAATACAGGATCACGAGAGGCAGGGAATGTGTTCTCTGCCTTGGTCTACTGTTGTGCTTAGGTGCATTCACTATATCTTTTTTTTTTTTTTTTTTTTTAGTTGTAGATGGACACAATACCTTTATTTTGTTTATTTAGCTTTTGTTTATGTGGTATTGGGATCAAACCCAGTGCCTTACAATGTTAGGCAAGCACTCTACCACTGAGCCACAACCCCAGTCCCGAATTCACTATATCTTAAGAGACTGCCCAGAGGCTGTTGCCTTCAAGTGGCCTCCAGACTGAGCAGAGTGCTCTTCTGTAATTCACTTTCCAGGACAAGTAAGAAGACCATGAGATTATTTCTGCCAAATACTGAAATTGACAAGGCACAACTGTTTTTCTATATTAGCAAATATAAATTATGTCAATTTTTCAAGTTGATCATGATTTTGGTTTGTTTTTTACATTGACCCTTGTTGATCAACCCAGCTATCTTTTATCCTACTCTCCTTTGGACTATCCCAACTAGTTATATAACTGAGGACATACTTGTTAAAATCAAACTTAAAACAGTCCCAACTTCATAAAACTGTTAACTTCCAGCAGAATCCCACATGTTCTGTAAATGTTCAGCAGGGGTTTCTCTACACCTGTAGTTAAGTGGTTGGCATTTGTCCAAAGAGACTAAGGCGAGTCCTTCTCTCAATCATGGCAACTGATAAGAGCTATGGTGACCTTTTGGGTGGTGTCAGTAGAGCACCAGGTAGACAAGCTAGCTACTCAGGGAGGAGGCTCAAGACCTGAAAGCCCAGATCAGTCCTGGAGCCCCTGAAATTCCACCCCTGAAGAGATGCATAGCACTGCCCAGCCTCTGAGATCACAGGTAGGCATTGTACCCTTCCTTAGAGGTCCCAGGTAATCAGTGAGTGGGCTTCATTTGGTTCACAAAGCTTGTGTTCAAATTCTGTGTGTTCTCATGGTTTCTCAGGGTTGTCTCCTTTCCTTTGCAGACGGTCTTTCTTAGCATCTTGATGAGGTCGTTGGGGAATAAGAATACTGTCCTTCTTGGCTTGGGCTTCCAGATGCTCCAGTTGGCCTGGTATGGTTTTGGAGCTCAGGCCTGGTAAGCTTATACCCTTAGATTCTCTTGAGTTAACAGACAAATGTGTCTTAGAAGAGCTCCAGCTAGTTGAGTGTAATGAGAAGAAGGAAGAGTTATTTCACTGGTTTGTTGTATGTAACATTTCAAAACATTTAGACTTTTAAGTTGGGCAAGGGTGGAGCTAGATAATTTTAAGATAATTTGTAAAGATTACCTTCACCTCAGCAGGCTTTCACTGAATCATTCCTTAATTAAATATGTGTCTCTTTTCTCCCAGCCCTCCAGTAAAGTTCTGTGTCTACTTTTTAAACATATTTGTCAATTTTTAGGGGCATCACAGTCAAACAAAAATACAAGATTCACTGCCATAATTAGCTGAGAGACCTTTGGTAATAATATAACATTTTTAAGTTTGGCGAACACTGACATCTCTTCCAAAGCCATGTGTACCCTAACATTATTACTACTGTATATTAGATTCCCTTGAAAAAGAAGGCCAGAAAAAGCCCTGTGAAATAAAAAGCACCAAAAAGACTCCTGAGCTCCATTTTGTTGTATGACATTTCCCTTTGTGCCTGAGTGCCAAATACTGGAGTTCCTGTCTCCATTTTAGACACCAGAGTGGCCCTCACTGTGCATTACTAAATGGAGGACATGATTTGGAGAAATGGGAAATGCTTCAGTGGTCAGAGGTTAGTTCTGAAAGAGATCAGAATGTCATTTGAAGTACTTGTTCTTTGTGACTTTTTAGGTAAGATTAACTTTGTTGGATTTTCTTGTTCTAATTTTATTTTGGTCCTGTGAACGTTGGTTCAGTAGCTGATTTAGTCACAACTCTCTCAGTGTTATAAAGACTGTTATCGTGAAGAGTTTTTTTTTTTTTTTTTTTTTTCAGTAAGCATTATCCCCAAGGAAGTCTAGTCCAGCAGGTCACAAGTACAGTTAGGGCCTCGCTGTGTGCACACTCGGACTTGATATTGACTGGCATGTAAGCCTCTTTGACCAAGAAGAGGACAAAGGTCTGAGGGCAGCAGGCTGTGTTTGTTCAGTTGATGGCACACTGCTCTGTTGAGGGCAGTGTGAGGGTGAACCTTTAAGAAGTGCAAAGAAAAGTGGAATGTCATGGGGAAGCCTGATATTAAAAGAAACAAGAGCTTACATTGAGCTTACATCTGCAGGTAGTATTAGGGAAACCAGGGAGAAGCAAAGATTTTTTAAAAAGTAGAATAGGGAAATGAAGCTTTCCTGGAATTTCTCCCCTACCCAGGCTATGAAGTGATGGTATTAGCAGTGTGAAATCCATTTTTAAAGAGGAAAAAAATAAATAAAACTGGCAAGAGGAAACAAAAGACCTTTGTACTTTTGCCACTGACTGCATTCGAGCCAGGAGCTCCTTGGTGCCTGAACTCAGCCTGTGCTGTCATTTCAGGATGATGTGGGCTGCAGGGACCGTGGCTGCCATGTCCAGCATCACATTCCCGGCAGTCAGCGCTCTCGTCTCTTGGAATGCAGATTCAGATCAGCAAGGTGAGGTTGCGGCCCTCGCTGTTTCCTCCTTCAGCTGAGATCTCCCTACCCGAAGCTCTTCACATTGACAGCAGGAGGTGACAGCCCTGTGGTCCCTGTTCCAGGAGCATACCTGTTTCTTTGCCACATAAGAAAGTTGTTTTCCTCCCTGCTTTGGTCTTAAATTCATACTTTGAAAACCTGGACTCATCAGTTCAGATTACTAAGAGTTAAAATGGAAAATGTGATGTTCCTTTCTCAATTTTTTACTCCTTTTGTCTGTTTCCGTCAGAATTAACCAGACTATTCGTATTTCAACGATTGTCTATTAAATAATGATGGCTAGTTAGCAATGAAATATTTTACTTCATAACTAAAATTAATTGGAATAGTTCAGAGTTCATGAGCTTAGTTTAGGAAATTGTTCTTTGGAAGGATAAAGAAAAAATAAATCTGTGGTTCTTGGTGATTGGATACAGAATGAGAGGTAAAGTAAGTAACGAGTGCTGTGCAGAAGGCAGACTGTTAGTCATTTTTCTTTTGTCTCTGCTCCCTTTTCAGGCAATTCTCCCTTTTCAGGAAATAATCCATTTCCTTGTCCATCTCCTAATGTCTTACCTTACTGTGGTCAAGAAATAGGAAATTTTAGAGGGAAAAAAATTTTTAATGCCTAAGAGCTCTATTAAAAATATCAAAAACTGGATCGGAAAAGAAAGTTTATTCACTGCACCTGTTTTTTCACGTCAGAAATTAGTCATCTTATTCATAACCAGTTTTTTAAATATACTTTTTGATGTTGATGGACCTTTATTTTATTCATTTATTTATATGCAGTGCTGAGAATCAAACCCAGTGCCTCACACATGCTAGGCAAGCACTGTACCACTGAGCCACAACCCCAGCCCTTCATAACCATTTTTAAATAGTGTCACTGGAAGACCACAAATTCTGTGTCAACCTTAGCTGTAGTAGTAAGTCAGCTGGCTGTGCATCCTCAGGGAAGTACGGTGTGTGAAGTCATGGGCTTTCTGTGGAGGACTCCTTTCATACAGGGCATGCATTTTATTAGTTTTTGTTTATGCTTATACTTATCAATACAGATGTTACAAAACTATTGGAATACATTGTATTAGGCTGAATTATATTTGACCATTTTTTACTTCAGAAATACCCATATCATATGGTTCAAGCTAATTTTTCACCTGCCATGTTAGAAAGCAGAGATATCTAAAAATTGGTACTTGTAAAAAATTTCACTTCAGGTCTATGTGGAGATGGATCTGGAATGCATATGGCAGCCATGGGGGCTAGTCTCCCTGGTGGTAGAGGGTGTAGAGGGCTACATTTTACTCACATATAGCCAGGACTGTCAGAGGTAAAGAGCAGATTTTTATTGTAAATTCAATAGTAAATGAGTAGAGAAGGAAGATCTCAGTTCATTAGTTTTGTATTTTATTCCTTATTTACAGGCAGGTCTTGTTGATGTGGGGTATTCAGCCCCAAAAGGATTTCAGAAACTGAAATTACTGTCATTTCATCTCTTCATAGACCTCAGTGCAGAGCAAGAAATGGGCCTAATAAAATCAAGAAAATGTTTGTGTAATGAATGAAAATATGGTGAAATCTTTCTAATCCATTTTCCTGCACTCTGTACTTTCTGCTCAGCCCAGTTGAATCAGTTTATCGGTTTATATAAGAGAGTACTGTTAACCTCCACATCTTGAGATGCTTTTCTGAGAAGACTGACTCCCTTCTCTTATTCTGATACAGGAGTTGCCCAGGGGATCATAACTGGAATAAGAGGACTATGCAATGGCCTGGGGCCAGCACTGTATGGCTTTATATTCTACATGTTCCACGTAGAATTGACTGAGTTAGGCCCAGAATTGAATTCTAACAGTGATGCCCTACAGGTAATTTGAAGTGCAACTTTTTAAAAATTTTTTTTAAACAATGGTTATATCTGATGGTAGCAAAATTTTGTGATCTTAAATTTGAAGAGCATTCTTACTTGAATGTTACTGTCGAATTTGACAGTAATTTCTGTATTCATTGCTTCCCAGAATCATTTCAGAAATTTAATATCTTACATAAACTATTTGTCTTAACTTTGTTCAGATTCTGCCTTTACCTGCACAATCACTGTACTCAGGATACTACTCTCTGGCTAACTTCAGGCTAAATAAAATGTCCTTAAAATCTAAAAATTGAGCTAGAGTGCCTTTTAAATTATTTTTTGAAAAGCAAAAAAATAGAGTAGTATGGATTTAGTATAGATTTCTGTGCAAAAGTGTAATTAATAATGTTTACATACAGAACTGCATGATTTGATGTGGGTCACAGGATGAGATTTCAGATAAATGTCTATTGCTTATAGGCTTACAGGTTGGGTTAAGCTATTCAAAAGTTGTACAAAAAAAGCAGTGATGAGTTCCCATGTCATAATCCAAATACCAAGCTCTATTAGTTTGCCCTGACATTTAGTGATATATCTGCTGCTTGAGAAAAATGATTCATTTTTTGGTGATGGGATATCTTTTTTTGGGTCATTCAAGACTAATTTTGGATTAAAGAAACTAATCAAACTCTGTCTCCATTTGTTTCCCACACCCATTAGGGAGCTGTCATCCCAGGCCCACCATTTTTATTTGGAGCATGTATAGTTCTTATGTCTTTTCTGGTTGCCTTATTCATCCCTGAATACCGGAAAGCCAGTGGAGTTCAAAAACATAGCAACAGCATCAGCGGAAACCTAACCAACACCCCAGAACGAGGCAGTGATGAGGACATTGAGCCACTGCTGCAAGATAGTAGCATCTGGGAGCTCTCCTTTGAAGAGCCTGGGAATCAGAGCACTGAGCTGTAAACTCAGCAGAAAATGGGATTCTGCAGATGAYCACCTCTGAGAGCCATGGAGGGAGCCGCAGCACATGGAGACTTCATGGTGCTGGAGGGGCGATGCTAGTGGCATCCTTCGGGCCAAGTTGATAAGTGACTCCTTCTGTCTCTCTGCCCTTCCTCCTGTCCCTCCTTCCGTTTCTTTTCTCTCATTCTTTTTTATTTGTACATTAGAAGAAGGTAAGATTTGAAATACTTCCCTGCAGATAATGTACAACTCTCGAGGTCATCTGGCGTCTACACTTTGAAAAGTCATCTCTGATAGAAAACATGGATTTCCTTTAATAACTGGAATAATCTTTCCATGGCTTTTTGAACAGAAGGTGCAGGATTAGAGTGAAACTGCCATCTTGGGCAAGATTTCAAGTAAAGAATCCCTTCTTTTTTCTTCCGTCCTCCTTCTTGAATTATTCCCACTTAGCCCAGAGGTATTGATGAGTGGCTATTCTTAATAGTCACTCAGTTTCAGGGATCTTTTGCCTTTGTCCAAAGGTCAAATGAAAACCTAATTTTACTCTCCCTTTATTTCCTCTACACCCAGTGCTTGTCTAAAATGAACATTAATAATATGGATTGATGGTAACCTTAACCAGCTTGAAGAAAATCTTTCTTACAAATTCAGATATGTTGAACTACCAACTCAGATTCCTGGACCTAGTGTCTGATCAGATTCAAGGTGATTTTACAGAAGAAAAAAAGAAAATATATCAAGCCTAAGATGATTTTAAAGATGAAAAAAAGTCCATCTAGCCCAGTGCAGTGGCACGTGCTTATGATCCCAGCAACTAAGAGGCTGAGGCAGGAGGAGCACTTGTTCGAGGCCAGCCTGGGCAACTTAGCAAGACCACCAAACACAACACATACACACACACACACACACACACACACACACACACACACACACCCCGAAAACACAAGCATTCTAGTGGCAACAAAGAAAAGAAATTAGAGAGTGCTTCTAAGAAAGTTTTAAACAATTTGAACATTCCTAAGAGAGGATGAGAGTAACTCAAGTCTCAGTAGAATTTATGTCCAACTTCAGACTCATAATACATTATTACTGTTTGCTCCTTCCCATGTCTCCCATGTCCTACTTCTCAGTTCTGTTCCATCACACTCCTGCCTTAACTGCTGTGTAGTATGCATTTATTTTCAATTAATCTTTATCTCAGTCTGTTTATCTGATTTTTGGAACTCATGGGAAAACGCACATCAAATTCCTTTCCAAAATATGAGGGTTTAGTGAAGCTCAGTTTCACAATAAGTGTCTTGCTAATTTTTTGCGATGTTTTATGGACAAAGAAAACTTTACAGATTTATATGTATTTTGCTGCACAGTAATGGACCATTACCTAGGGCCTACCTTTAACAAAGCACTCCTTTGGAAGTTTTATAGGTATGAAATATATGTAGATATTTGTAAGGGTTTTAATTTTTTTTGATGGGGTGCTGTGTAAATCTTGTATTTATAAATGTAATGAAGGTATTGACAGAAAAAATATATACAACTTTTATAAAGGATTGTGTACTGACTGAATACATTTAAAAGAAAATATATTTTGAAACCTGTTCTTAATGAACAGAGATAACATATCTTTTTACTATGCTGTTGGTTTTTAGGTTTAAGCTTCCTAATGCATAATAAATTTGCAATGGATACTTTTATGCTTTTTGTGTTTTTTTAAACAAATTGTATCATTGCTCTTTTTGGTTCTCTTCGGTGGTTTTCTACTAAATTGAGTTCATAATCCTTTATATTAAACGATATTTGTATTTTCAAGAAAAAAAATTTTAAAAGCAGCAACAGATATATCTGTACTCATGTGTGTAGCAGAATTATTCACAATATCTAAAAGGTAGAAGAAAGCCAAGTGTCCTTGGACTGATGAATGGATAAGCAACATGTGTATCTATACAATGGAAATTCGGGACTGAGGCTGTAGCTCAGTGGTAGAGCGCTTGCCTACCATGTGTGAAGCACTGCGTTTGATCCTCAGCACCACATAAAAATAAATAAAATAAAGGTATTGTTTCCATCTACAACTAAAAAAAAAAATTTAAAAAAGATGGAAATTCTGACACATGCTACAAAAATGGTTTAACATTGAAAAGATTACACTAAAGTGAAATAAGACAATCATAAGAGGACAAATCTTGTGTGRTTTCACTCATGAGGTACCTAGAGAAGTATCACATTTAGAGACAAAAAGAAAAAATGGTGGTTGTCAGGCTGGTGGAGGGAAAAGTGGGAAGTTATTTTATGAGTGCAGAGTTTCATTTTGCAATATAAGGAAAATTCAGGGGTGGGAGGGTTGGTAGTTTGCATAACTGTGAATTTACAGCTGGGGTTGTGGCTCAGCTGCACTCGCCTAGCACCTAGCACATGGGAGGCCCTGGGTTCAATCCTTAGCGCACATAAAAATAAATAAAGATATTGAGTCCAACTACAACTAAAAGATAAATTTTTTAAATGTGAATTTACTTAATACCACTAAATTGCACCCTTAAACATGGTTAAAATGGTAAATATTTAATTACATAATACTTATATTATGTATAAAATTATTATCATAATTTTCGGGGATGTGTATCAGGGATTGAACTCGGGGGCTCTCAACCACTAAGCCACATCCCTAGCCCTATTTTGTATTTTATTTAGAGATAGGGTCTCCCTGAGTTGCTTAGTGCATTGCTGTTGCTGAGGCTGGCTTTGAACTCACAATTCTCCTGCCTCAGCCTCCAAAGCTGCTGGAATTGCAGGCGTGTGCCACCATGCCCATCAATATTTTATCATAATTTTTAAATGCTCCCATAGCATCTGTTTTTCAAACTATCAAAATCACCTTTTCATCTATTTTAAAGTATACAATTCTGTGGTTTCTGTATATTCACAATGTTGTGTGACCATTTGCACTAATTATTAAACACTTCCCTCTCTCCCCACAAAGAAATCCTTTACCCATTAGCAGCTGTTCTTAATTCTCCCATCCCCATGCAATCAGTAATCTACTTTCTCTATATATAGGTTTGCCTATTGAGTTCATTTCATATGAAAAGAATCATACAATATGTGCTCTTTTATGTCTTGACTTTTTACTTAGCATTTTTTAAGGTTCATCCATGTTGTAGCATGTATTTCTAAGGTTGAATTATATTCCATTATGTGTGTGTAATTTTTGTTTATGCATCAGTTGATGGACATTTGGGTTTTTCTCTCTGGGATTATTATGAATAGTGCTCTGTGAACATATATGAATATGTTTTCAGTTCATTCTGGAAGGGAGTAGAATTTTTGGGTTATGTGCTAATTCTGAAACATTACCAGTTTTCCACAACCACGGCATACTTCTTAATTCCTATCAGCAATATAGGATGGCTACAGTTTCTCCACATCCTTTCTAGTACTTATTATCTTCTGTTTTGTTCTTTATAGCCATCCTATTGGGTTTGAGGTAGAATCTCATTACAGTTTAGTTTGCATTTCCCTAATGATGTTGAACATCTTTTCAAGTGCTATGTTTGCCATTGATAGTTTCTTTGGAGAAGTTTGTTGAAGTCCTTTGTCTATTTTTTAATTGAGATATTTGTCTTTCTGTTGATGAATTGTGCAAGTTCTTTGGAAATTCTGAATGATAGAGTAATAGCCATTGGTGGATAGAAGTTTTAAATTTTGACAGTCAGGCTTGGTTTTTTTTCTTTTGTTGCTTGTGTTTTCTAAGTCATCTAAGAATACTTTTTCAAATCCAAAGTCATGAATATTTACCTGTCTGTTTTCTTCAATTAGTTTTGTAGTTTTAGTTCTTATGTTTAGGACTTCAACCCATCTCAAATTAACTTTTGTGTCTGGTAGGGGTCAAAGTTTACATTTTGGCATGTGGATATGCAGTGATTTCTGTACCACTTTTTGAAGAAAACATTCTTTCCCTATCAAATTGTCTTGGTACCCTTGTCAAAAATCAGAAAACGGTAGATAATATGAGTTTGTTACTGGACTTTTAATTCCATTCCATTGGTTTATATTATAGAATGCCAGTTCTATACAATTTTGATTGCTATAGCTGTATAGTAAGTTTTAAAATTAGGAAGTGTGTTCTTTCTTGTCAACATTGTTTTACCTATTTCATATTCCTTTTGATTACATATGAACTTTACTTTTGACTTTTCCATTTTTGCCAAATTAAAAAAAGATTTTGATATGCATTGCACTGTAACTGTAGATGGCTTACTTTAGGTTGTATGCAATCTTAACAGTATTAAGACTTCCATCCATGAACATGGGATTTTTTTCACTTTATGCACTGTCACTTACATATGATAACCCCACTATTGGTGTGTCTAAACTTGAATATTTGAAATTTTCAAAATAGAGAGGAAAGCAGAATAAAAGAGATCTGCTTTCAATAAAATAAAATCTCTGGAACACTATGAAGGCGGTTCTCTGAGGAAAGTTCATAGCACTGAGTTCATTCATTAGAAGAATAGAAAATCACCAAATAAATAACCTAACCTTACATCTCAAGAACCTGGAAAAAGAAGAACAAATCAACACCAAACACAGTAGAAGGCAGAAAACAATTAAAATCAGAGCTGAATTCAATAAAATTGAAATAAAAAATTCAAAAAAATGAACAAAAAGTTGGTTCTTTAAAAAAATTAATAAAATTGATAAACCTTTAGCCATGCTAACCAAGAGAAAGAGGGAGAAAACTCAAATTTCTAAAATTAGTTATGAAATAGGAAATATCACCACAGACACCACTGAAATTCAGAAGATAATCAGAAACTATTTTGAAAACTTATACTCCAGTAAAATAGAATATCTTGAAGACATCAACAAATTTTTAGAGACATATTGACCTACCCAAAGAGAACTTGGAGGACAGGAAATTTAAACAGATATATTTCAAGCAATGAGTCTATCTTCATGATATCCACTGTCAGCAGGTTGACTGACACCTGGGTAGGGCCACGCCCAAGGGAACAGTAAGAGAAGGGGACACACACACAAGGCACTTCCATGGAAAATTCTTTCCTAAACAGGGCAAGGGGTTATATTACAAAAGAACAGGTGAGCGTAGCTTCACCCATGGGGCTGTAGCAAGACACACCCATGCACGAGACATCAACCCTCGCACCCAAGAAGGGTGAGGAAAGCTCTGCGGAAATGCGACTGACCGCCTTAGCACCCAGCCAGGGAGTGTAACCCAGCCACATGTAAGGTTGGTCTCCCACAGCTACTGATACCCTGCTATTGATATTTGCTCCTTACTTGCAACCTCTTCTTTGGTCACCTCAGAATTTTGCTATGCTACACAGTGACCTTTTCTTTTGTTGGGATCTCAAAATTTTATACATTCATTTTTCCAAGAATGTCCTCATCTAATTATTCTTTTTCAAGTTCCCCTGTACTCAAGCCCCTCGTTGGGCACCACTTGCTGCGATCTGCACAGCAACAAYGAAGGATCTCCAGTAGGCGCGACCTGAGATTAAAAAAAACAGACATTTTTAAGGAAAACTGGGACCAGGTGGGATACTGCCCTCCAATGGAGGAACAGTGACCCCGGAACTAGCTCAGCAGGTTTATTATATAGGGTCTCATAACCAGGAATTTTCACTATAGAGGCTTTGTAGATTGTTCAAGGCTTGTGAGTTTTCAAGAGGCTTCTTTGTGCACTAAAAACTTAGAAACATTTTTGCGGCTAGCCTGCTGTACCGAGAAACCCCATTGTATTGGAATGTCTGAAAACTACTGACATCAGAGCTGACGGAGTATCAAGGCTGTTCGCACCCTGGCCTTTTGGCAAGGAATGTTTCCCAGGCTTGGGCTTTTATCTGCACTGCAGGATCAGCTGATGGCCAGGGCCCATTCACTCTCCATACAGGCTACCCTCCCTGGCTAGCTGGGACTTATTAAATAAAATATATGCCTTTATCTCTCAGCACATCATTTGTCAGATTATTTTATATATTTAATCTGGATTGAATCTATGACCATTGTACTTACCAATGAACTTTTTCTTGTAATTTATCCTTTTGTCTGTGTCCCTAGCAGTGGCTTGCAATATCTATGACCGTTTGACTTCATGGAGTACTTACTGTATATGTGGTAGGTCCAGTCACAGGGGTCATAAATGTCCCCATGGGAAATGAGAGGAGAGAGCCCAGCCTGAGTTCCTTGTTCCCTGGAGCAGATGCCTGATGCTGCCACCTTTGAGATTCAGAGCCCATGGGCCCCAATCTCTTCAAATGATTTGATTCTGTTCTGTCTGTTGTCCAGGAAAATGGTTCTCCTACATGAACCTAGACATGAAATGTGGATTGTGATCTTTGTCAGTTCTGTGGTTGAGGCAGAGACTATCTTAACTAGGTCTCTCTCAAAGCTTTTCTTTCTTCCCTGTTTATGTTTCCCTGGGCTGTCAGCGTTGAGACCATAAATCTCCCATTTCAGAATCCATTGCTACTGCAGGTGTGGCTCTGCTGGGTGACCCATGCTACTCACTCCACTGCAGCGGTTCACAGAGACTTTTGTGTCCACTGGGAAGAACTGCACTCAGGTCTGTAATACTAACATACATGGACCTATAATGCTGTCAGCTGTGGATTGTTACTATTTTAGTTCCAAAATGATTTTATAACTGGATCAAGAGCAATATTTTTACTTCAGAGTTCTACTATCATGTATTATTCTCATTGTTGTAGGTCACACCTTTTTGTCTTTGACTTCCTTCGCCAGCCTGTTGAATGAATGTTTTGCAGATGCCTTTCTGTCTGTCCTAAAGTGAAAGACAGCTACACTGCACACACATGGAGCAGCGAAGACCAATCAAARCATACTCTTAATGCAACTATAGACTTTGCAAAATTATTGTTTAAAAATCTTCATAATAGCATCATTGTACTTCCTGAGCATTACACATCTGGAGTTGGTCTTTTATGTTGGTGAAATAGTGTTGCTGGGTCTTTCCTCCCTGTCTACTAGTGTGTGCAAGTTCACATTAATGGTGTGCTCAATGTCACACCAGGGCACCCAGGTGATTCCACTGTAGGTGGTGAATAGTATGAGGGCCGTGCTTGTTTCCTCATCTAGGTTTCTAACAGGATGCCCGGCTGGTCTCTGTTGGATGAACTAAGGAGGATTCTTTAGCTTCTTCTGGACCTGGCTTTTGTATTCTGCCCCCCCCTGCCCCCCCGCAAGTGCTGTATGGTCCCAGGTGTGAAGGGAGGCTGGGCCTGCCTGCTTTGGAAGGCAGCACTCTTCCTGAAGTGGGAGTGGTCCTTCTTTTTAAAAGCCAACATATAGGCCCAAGGTAGATACACAAAAGTGGGGAAGAGCTATAGGGGAGTTAGTGGGGACCAAGGATTAGGGAGTTGGAACATGAATAAGCACAGCAGTTAATTGGGGGTTAAAAGAATAAAAAGCTTTGCTCTTTATAAAATTTTAAAACTTGAAAATGTTATGAAAAAGTCCATGAAACTTGGAGGAAGAGTAATGTGAATGTTATTAATCCCTTTATACCACAGCAAGAATTTTCTTTTAGACCTTACCTGAGATTGGATTCATTGGATGGAATCATTTAGAATGCTCAAGAATGCTGAACATGTAAAGATAGATGTATTCAAACTATTTTACTGCATTATGTGTATTAGAATATTTAGGTCTTTGTTATTGTGATTTTTGTCTTGGGGAGAGTTCACTGGTGATATCGTCATTATGTGTGAGCACTAGATGGCAGTGTGGATTTTTAAGGTTAGGCCCAGAGCAACAAATTTCAAGTAATTAGTTGTAGTTGGACACAATACCTTCATTTATTCATTTTTTGTGGTGCCTCAGCCTAACCCTAACCCTAACCCTAACCCAGGATCGAACCCAGGGCCCCACGGGCCGCACGTGCTAAGCGAGCACTCCACCACTGAGCCACAACCCTAGCCCTCAAGTAAATCAACTTAGCTGGCAGTGCTATACTTGAGACCTCCTTATAACTGAAAGTTCATTCCCTTTGACCAATATTACCCCCTTCAATCTTCCCCACTCTTCAGTATCTGGTAACCACTGTTCTACTCCTTTACCTAGTCCTTTTTATTTTTTAATTTGTTTTGCTGAGGGTCTTCTCACTAAGTTGCTGAGGCTGGCCTTGAATTTTGCTTCTCCTGCCTCAGCTTCCTGAGTCCCTTGAATTACAGAATTACTGATTACAAGGGTGAACTACCACACCTGACTATTGGGACTTATTTTATGACCTCAGGTGTGGTGTATCCTGGAGACACAGAATCATAATTTACCGGATCAGAAACTCGTGTGCAAAAATATCTGCAAGAACCAGTGCCTGTGTAGGTAAACCTAAATTGCAATCCATGAATTTCTGGAGGCTTGGAATGGACAAATAATATCAATTATTGAGATTGCCTTATTCTTTATTATCTCCTTCAGATTTGGGTCCAAATATACTTCTCCCATTAAAACTTTGAAGTGCGTGCTAGGGAGCCTCTGGACGGAGGCGCCCCAGCCTCCCACCTGGCAGCTGCCCACGTTCCCGTCGCCCGCTCTGCCTCCCCGCAGTTTCCTATTTCCCCGGCACCCAAACTCGGGAGGCCGGGGTAGGGGCGCCGCGGCAGAGCCAGCGCGGCACCTGAAGGACTCAAGGGCGGCGTGGGTTAGGAGCCCGGGCCCCACCCTGCACTGTTTCCCTCCAGGTGCTGGGCGCTGACCAGACCTGGCAGAGCTGAAAGCAGGGCCCAGGGTTCCCCTCACCGAGACAGGCGCCAGGGGTCTGCACTGCTAACTGACAAGGCCTTGGTCGTGCAGGGAGAGCTGGCTCTGCGAGGGCGGGGCGGGGCGGGGCGGGGCGGGGCGAAGGCGGCCACGTGGGCGTGTATGGGGCGGGGCTTAGACAGGGACGCTGGTGTGCAGAGACGCGGGAGCCGTGAGGTGGGGCGTGGAGCGGGCGTGGAGTGGGGCGGGGCTGCGCGGCGTGGTGGGTGTGCGTGGAGGCGGGGCGAGAAGGTGGGTGTCCTGCGGGGCGGGGCCGTTGCGTGCGTCGCAGGAGTGGGCGGGCAGGTCGCGCCGTGGGACCCTGTGGGAGCCGTGGGCGTCGGGGTGGGTGCTGGAGCTGAGGTGATTTCCGATCTGGTGGGTTGGGACTCCCAGGAAAAACCTGACGTCTCGGGATTCTTTCTGCGTTCGGTTCCGCTCCGCGCGGCGCCGAGGAGGAATAATGGCTGCCACCTTCCAGGTAGCTTGGCCTTTTCTGGCTTTCTTTACTAGTGGCTGTCGATTTTCCTGTTTTGGTTTGCTTGCTTGCTTAAAACCCTGCCCGATTTACCCTGGAGTTAAGGGGGACCGAGTGACCCGATTTCTAGCGTTTACTGTGGGAACCATGTTCGGGAGGGTGGAGGCCCCGAGCCTCGCACCCGACCCCAGCGTTCCACCATGATTTGACCAGCGTTTGGGATTTAGCCCCTCGTCTTTGTAGTTTATTGTTTTTTATTATAAAATTATATTGTCTTTTTCGAGAATTTGGAAAATACACAACATAACAAAGAAGAATGTTAAAATTCCAGTCTCCAAACGATCACTATTAATATTTTGATGTGATTTTATTTCATTCTAGTGTGTATACTTATACTGTTTTTACGGTTTTATAATCAACCGTAAAAATTTACATTGTAACTTTGTCTTTAAATACTTAATGAAATTAACATTTTCATAGTCACATAATAATTCTTTGTGCAATGATTTTTTTTTTTGCTTTCATTATAAAACATATGGAGAATTTACTAAGAAATACAGAGTAGGGCTGGGGCTGTAGCTTAGTGGTAGAGCACCTCTTGTACTCCTGAGCCCCTGGGTTCGATCCTCAGCACCACATAAAAATAAACAAACAAACAAATAAATAATAAAAAAGAAATACAGAGCACACTCCGGTAACCATTGGCCCTGGCAATACAGAAGACTGCAAACACTTCAGTAACAACCCCAATCAAAATCCTTCTTCCCTCTGACACGTTTTATGATAATCAGTTTTTTCATTATAGTTTTACCTACCAAGTTTGCATCAGTAAATGATAACATGTATTTTTACTTTTTGTTAACTTTATGATTTGCSTCAGTAAATGATACCATTTATTCTTTTTGTTAACTTTATGTAACCGTTTCTATCCTTTCATATTATGCTATTTTTAACACTATAATTAAATCTGTTTTTTTTTTTCATTTTGTTGAGTAGCATACCCTTACATGAAATCAGTTAATTTATATGTCCTTTACATTGTTGATGATTACTTGCCCCCCCCCCAATTTTGGGCTATTCCATATAATGCTGCTAGAACATTTTCGCACATTACTATCAATGAACAGGAATTCACATTTCTCTAGGATTAGACATTTAGGATGGAATTGCTGGGTAATAGAATATGCCTATTTCAGCTTTTTTTTTTTTTTAATTGCCAAGTACTTCAAATAGTTGTGCCACTTTGCAGCTTTCCCAGCAGTAAACAGTTTCCTTGACTCTTAATTCCTTGTTTCTACATCAGTATTTATTATTATTCCTTCATCTTGGTTTCCTTTAAGTTTTTAATTGAATACTAACAAAAGCAGGAAAAAAGTGCAAATATATGAATGTGTGGTGAATTTTCACTAACCTGATTCCTGGTAACATCACTCAGATCAAGAAAGAGAAAATTACTGCATGGTGCAATGAGACTGATATTATTACCCTATTTACATGTATGATTATACTACAGGTGTGACTGCATCACAGCCAGAGAAATGAAAAGTTGTGCTCCGTTTGTGTACAGTTTGTCAAAATAATTCAGCTGTCATGTACTACTAATTGGAACAAATTTTAAAATTAAAAAAAAGGGAAAATTACCAAATTTCATTCCTACTTCTACTTTCCCACCACTTTTCCCTGCCCCCCAAGGATAACTTGTTCTGACTTCTACCATTAAATTGGTTTCTGAACTTCATATAAATAGAATCAAGTAGTGTATGCCCTTTTGTGTCTGGTTCCTATATCGCTATATTTTGTTTCAGCATCATTCATGTTGCTGTATTTACTTGAAATTCACACATCTTCTTTGCTGTGTGCTGTTGTTTGAAAATATCATGCTCTGTTCATTTTGTTTGTTTGTTTTTTGTTTGCAGGGCTAGAGATTGAACCCAGGGCCTCACCATGCTGGGTGAGGGTTCAACAGGTATGGGCTGTCCAGTTCTGATGTTGGCAGTCATTTGGATTTCCATTCTTTGGTTATTGTAAGCATCTTTTTAGAGATTGGAAAATATACAAACTAACAAAGATTGTTAAAATCCCAGTCTGTAAGCAACTACTGTTAATATTTTGAACAATGTTTCATTTGATCAATATTATACATTTTAGAATCAGTGTGTCAATTTCTATTTAAAAATCCTGCAGCCAGGCACAGTAGCAAGGCCTGCAATCTCAGCAACTGGGGAGGCTGAGGCAGGAGAATCACAAATTCAAAGACAGCCTGGGCAACTTAGTGAGATCCTATCTAAAAAAAAATAAGAAAAGGGCTGAGATATAGCTCAGTGGTAGAGCATCCTCCCCCCCCCCAAAAAAAAAGCTTCCAGGGATTCTGTTTGGGTTATGGGGGAAACCTTACTCATGGTACTGTGGCACAGCCAAGTGGTTAATTCAACCACTGTCACAGAGGTTGAATTAACACATTATCACAGCTGCTGATTTGAGACTATGGAAGAAGAAATTAATGAAGCAAGCAGRGTAAAGCCCCTCTCCCCTAGAATATATGTCCAGTAGCCAAAGGGGGGGAGACAATAATTTTTTTTAAATGATAGATGTATGAACTAAACCTAGATATGGGGAGAGAAAGTCTAGAACTAAAACAGAAGTTCACAAATAGAAGCCCAATGGAAACTAAACACACTAAAAGAATTTATACAACAAAAAAGATGAAAATATGTAGCTTTTGCACTTTCACAACAAAGTTAACTTTTAATATTTATCACAATGCACAGAGAAAATTGGCAAATCTGTGGGACTGAAAATCAATATTGGAGCTCAAACTATAGTCTTACTTGGAATTGCTTCAAAATTAAACAAGGTACTCCCTATAATTGTAAGGGAGTCACTGAATACAAAATAGAAACAAACAGGCATGCCCCACTTAACCGTAGATGTATTTGTTTTATGAATTCCTCGTAGTCTTAGCACCATTGCCCCAAAACATACCATAACAGGCATGGGTGCTCCAACCCAGTAAGCTGTAAATTAAAATCAAGTCTGGCACTTACATTATTAGTCTGAGCAAAATGGCGTCCTGTAGACCTTTACCTCCAGTTAAAATAGTTCATGTGGTTATATTTGTTTCTGATTATTTCTGTAATTACTACAAACATTGGCTTAAAAGACAAAATTTTTTATCTTCTACTTGTGGAGATCAGAATTCCCATGTGACTTTCAGTGTATCCACAGTCTCATGCCCTCTGGAGGCTAAATGGGAGGGTCTGTCTCCTTGCCTTTACCATCTTCTAGAGGCCGCTCATATTCCTTGGCTTACTGCCTCATCCTGCGTCCTCCTGGCCAGCAACATAGCATCTTGAAGTCTTCCCCTGACTCTGACCATTCTTTCTTTCTCTTGACTAAAAGGCCTAACAATCACATTGTGCCCACCCATATAACCCACATAATCTCCATCCCAACAGCCTTAATTTTATCACATTTGGAAAAGTCCCTTTCCTAAGTAACATTTTCATAGTTTCCAGGGACTAGGGAATGGATGTCTTTAAGGGGCCATTATTCTCTGCCTATCACAGTGACCTGATATAAATTAAAATAGGGCTTTTAAAGATTGAGGCCTAATATCTAAGACCTATTTGGAGGAGGGGTGTTTACCTCCAGTACTCTGCCCTTTAACTGTATAATTTGACTTCTTATTAATCTTGTAAAGTAGAAATGGTGCCTCATGGTGGATCCTACAAACCTAATGCTGTGGTCCCATCCATTTAAGCCCCCAGACCCAATATTATAAAAATTACTTACTCCATTCAGGCAGTGACTGGTAAATATTTCAGTATTACAGATTTGTCCAATAAATTCTGATTGGTGCCTATTTCAGCAGCCACTAAGTCACAGTTTGTCTTTACCTCAGAAAGGACATGACACATCTTATCACAGTACCTGGAGTTTATTGCCATGTTTTTAAAAGAAACCCATCATGTGTGTCAGTTTTTCTAGTAATACATCAATACTGTCATATGCCTATTAATGACATTTTCCTCATGGACACATACATTAATTCTTTTGCTTTTCTTCTAAAACATGCCTTTTAAAGCCTTTTGGGATGACCCAAAGTGGTTTGACTAACTGACGTTTGGCTGTTACAGGATTTTAATCTAAGATTCACTTTTACATATTATACTAGGTCTTTGATTCACTAACCCCAGTGACACTTTCTCTTTGGGGAATGGAAGATCCTTTGTCTTCTCATTCTTGGTTCACCTCCTTGTGATGATGGAACTAGTATTCCAACAGCTCTCCAAGAAGTGGGTACATATCATTTAGTCTGTACATATCTAGAAATGTCTTTATTCAACATGCTCACAAGGTTGATGGTTTGGGCATGGGATATTAGAAGAGTTGCTCCTCTGTCTGCCTTTCTATAGGAGTCTCTTAGGAAGCCCCTTGCCATGTCACCTCTGCATCTATTATTGAACCTGTTTTTCTCCCTGGGGGTTTTAGGTTTTTGTTTTTACACCAGGTATTATTTTTTAATATTTATTTATTTAGATGTAGTTGCACATGATACTTTTATTTATATGTGGTGCTGAGGATCGAACCCAGGGCCTTGCACTTGCTAGGCAAGTGCTCTAGCTCTACCACTGAGCCACAACCCCAGCCCCTATACCAGGTATTATAAAACTTTATTTTTGATGTAATTTTGTAAAGAATCTCAGAATTTGTCCTTTCTAAGGCATCGAGAGAGAAGGGAAAAGAAATACTTATTAGGACTTATTTTGCCATGAATTGTGTTGGGTTGCCTGCACATATGCTACTTTTTTTGTTATATGAGATTCCACARTTTGATTTTGCACATACTGAGACATGTCTGGATTGTGGAAATACCCATTTGTAAAAAATTGCTTGGAGAAATGGAATGTTTGAGGACCCGAAAACCTGCTTCAGTCACTCATTTCCTTAGATTTCCCCATCTCCAGATTTTTGTCACATAATAGTTCCCCATTTCATTCTGCTTGTCTTACTTCTCTGTGCACACCGTTGCCTTCTGCCTCTTCATGTTTGCCATTTCAGGGGGTGGTGGTGGTGTTCAGTGATGTGACTGTAGACTTCTCCCGAGAGGAGTGGGAATACCTGGACTCTGTGCAAAGAGTTTTATACAGAGATGTGATGCTGGAGAACTACAGCAACCTGGTATCAGTGGGTAAGGCTATCTGCCCCACAGATTTCAAGATCTGTTAGGAATGTCTGCTTTCTACATTGTGAATTATTTAGCTGCCTTTAAAATAACTCTGAATTTGTGCTTTCCACTCACAGAGTTTGAACTTTGTGGAGATGGAAATAGGTGGCTTCATTACAGTGGAAATTTTTCTGGTTTTCTGTGCCCCTTCCTATAATTTCACTTATTTCTTTAACAAATGACTAGAAATGAATTCTGGGATATCCCAGCATAACTGTTTTTTTTTTCCTGTAAACAGGACTTTCTATTTCTAAACCAGCTGTGATCACCTTATTGGAGCAAGGGCATGAGCCCTGGACAGGTGGTCCAGTGCCAGCTAAAAGCCAGTCCTTACATAAGTGGCAGAAATCAAGAGTGTTGAAGAAGAGCAGTACAGGTGGTAATCCATCTATCTGTGAGGAGGTGACACCTTTGAGTCAGGAAGGTGAGCCTTGTAGACCTTGATCTATGGATCACTTTTACTTTTTTACCAACCAGACTTCTTTTACTCCCTTGAAAATTATTGCATCTATATTTGTATTTAAGTATTTTCTTAGCTACTGGAGGAATACAAAAAGGTACTCAAGTCACCAGTAGATGGCGCCTTTTCTCCTAGGACCAAATTTAGAATCGCCTCAAGTGCTTCTTAGCTCTTGATGGCTATGGGGCAGATTCCAGAAGAAAGGCCTCAGACATAGTAAGATAGTTCTACGATGATTGGTGCCAGTAGCCCTGGAAGTTCATGCCTGGAACTTTCCTGGACCCTTCTGTGTGTGTGTGTGTGTGTGTGTGTGTGTGTGTGTATGTGTGTGCGTGTGTGTGTGTATGTGTGTGCGTGCACGTGCGCGCGTGTGTGCGTGCACGTGCGCGTGCATGCACGTGTGTTGAGTTTAATCTGTATAATTTCTGTGTAATAAACTGAGTCCATGAGTATAACTGTTCTGAGTCCTGAGTCATTCTAGTGAATCACTTACCTTAAGGTCTTGCAGACCTCCTGAATGTACAGCCCTATTCCTTTTGTGCAAAAAGGAAAAAGTTAACTCATTCTGTGATTACATAATAAGAAATGTAAAATATCTAGCTTATAAATAAATAGCCCTTCTATGGTTGCTGTTATGATGGAAGAATTTCTTACCTCAAGTAGGTTGAAATGTGTAAAAGGTGTGGGTAAAGACTTTAACATGGATTCTGAGGTGTGCCTAATCCCAGCTACATGGAAGGCTGAGACAGGGAACCACAAGTTTGAAGCCAATCTGAGCAACACAGCTAAACTCTATCTCAAAAAAAAATGTTTTAAATGATTAAAAAATAAAATGGACTACGAGAAAACTAGAGAAAAATACTCTAAGAACTACAGAAGTCTATATAGTGATTCCTATGAAACTGTTGCTGAGTGCTAAAGCAAACATACATAGAATTAAGCCACATCAAGGCCAGCCAAAGAATGGCACAAACTGTAATCTAAACAGTTCCAGAAGATAGCATAGAAATGAGACAGTCTGAATTTTTGACTAGCCAATGTAGAGGGCTCCCTGAATACCCGAGGCTCAATAAAGATGCCAGAATGTGCACTCCCTAGTATAGAATTAAAGTATTCTATAGAAAAATCTATCCTAGCCCTACCCTAACAGAGCTTAATAAAATCCATGAAAGGATCAAACATCCTTAAATCACCTGTCTACTAGAACAGAATACAAAAGTCTTTGATAAAAATTAGCAAAGTTGGGCTGGGGTTGTAGCTCAGTGAGTGGTACAGTGCTTGCCTCACATGTGTGAGGCACTAGGTTCAATCCTCAACACCACATAAAAATCAATAAATAAGATACTGTGTCCATCTACAACTAAAAAAAAAATAGCAAAGTTAAGCATTTGACAATATAACATTCTCAATTTCTAGCATTCAATTATAAAACACTAGATGTTGAAAAAGAAGGAAAATAGCATAAATAGTCAACAGAAGTGACAGATGGAATTAGCAGACAGAATGTTGGAACAGCTCTTCTAAATATGTGTAATAAGTTAATGGATTTAGGGGAACCCCTCTATATAATGGCAAGAGACTGGAGAGACTACTTGCCAACACAGCAATAAGAACTTGTTTTATTCTCTTGCATCTCAAAATTTTAAAGTATATGCAACAGTAGTTTTTCAGGAACATGTATGGATTCCAAGCAATAAAGACAGTGATTCTCGACAGACAGGAAACCAATAAGGCCCTGTGATTGCCCCATCTTGCTTTGTTGAGAGAGTGAGTCTTAGGATGCAGCTCAGAGAAGTCGGAAGAGCCCAACAAATTCCGTGAGTAGAGAAGACAGAGCTGGGGCTGGGGATGTGGCTCAAGTGGTAGCGCGCTCGCCTGGCGTTCGTGCGGCCCGGGTTCGATCCTCAGCACCACATACCAACAAAGATGTTGTGTCCGCCGAGAACTAAAAAATAAATATTAAAAATTCTCTCTCTCTCTCTCTCTCTTTCTCTCTTCTCTCACTCTCTCTTTAAAAAAAAAAAAAGACAGAGCTGAGTCCAGGGTGATCAAGGCAGCACATGTTCAGAGGAGCACAAAAGGATGAGCTGCAGAGTGAGGGAAAACTAACGATCTGCAGAAGGGCTCCTTTGAGAGTTCAACAGATTACTGGTAAGCAGATGGGGAACTACCTGAGGCTTCCAGAACCATTTGGAAGGACTAGAAGGACTTATGCCCAGCACTCACACAGCCAGCAAAATACCTGCTCCCACTACCCAGACAGACTGAAAAGCCTTACAACTCTTCATGCACTGATGGGACTGCTCCACAGTGTCTTACCTCAACTTCAGGCCATGGAACTACTCTAAAAGAAAGACCTAAAAGGATCAGATGACAACTTTCAAGTAATTTAATGATCTTAAAGCTTATTTAAAGGAATACAAAATCTAGTACTCAACAAGACAATTCACAATGCCTCATGTTCAATACAAGATTACTGTGCATGCCAAGATAGAAAAAGGATCCATAATGAGGACAATTTTTGTTAAAACCAACCAAGAAATGGTAAATATAAGAAGACATTTTTAAAGTTATAACTATATTCCAAGTGTTCAAAAGTTGAGCCAGACGTAGAACATCCTTTTAAGCACCCATATTGTTTCTAGAGTAGAAAACCAAAAAGCCTGCATTGGGTTGTACAGTGGATTCAATATTTCATGTTCAGAAAAGGTTAGTGAACTGGAAAGCAGCAACTGAAATGCAAAAGAGGAATGAGTGGATGTGACTTTTGGAATAACTTAGGCAACCTAATATACAAGTGTTTGGAGTATACTCCAAAGAGAACTGGCAGCAGAGAAAATATAAGAATGACCAAAAATTTGACAAAACGGATCCACAAGCTTCAAAGAACTTCAAATATAAGAAGCACACATATTTAAAGACTGTAAGGCATAATCAAATTGCTCAAAGACTGTGTGAGCATCTCAGGTTTCATGATTTTTATGATCTTTAATCACATGGGCAGTTTCAATTATGAAAGCTAGTGTTTCTCAGTTGGTGTATACTGTACTATAAGATCTGGAAATCTCATCTAAAATCCAATTAGTTGCTGCAAGGTGGTATTCATTGGCTTTTATAATAGGCCCATCTATGTTCCACACAGAGGGGTTAGACAGAGAACTTCCCAGCTTCTAACAAAGTCATTAAACTGGTAATAACTTTTTGTCCACAAAGTATTCTATCCTGTCAAATCAACCTGTATGAACTTGGACAGTTCTATTGGTTCCCATTTAGCATATGCAATCCATAGTGTTTAAATATTGAATTTATAGTTTCACAATACTAGGTAGTGCATTCCCAGTCAGATATAATGTCTAGTCATTTAATATATTTAGGTAAAGAAAATGTAAAGTCTGTTCATTCCAGTTCTTATCCATGTTTCAGCAGTTCCACCAGTGGCTCTCATATCCTTACACTCTAACTCTGTCCCCCAATAGGGCTTCTCTAGTGGATGTTTGAATCCTTCTGTTTTGTGTTTCCATGTCAAGGAGTTCCAAAAAGTTTCTTCCTCACCTCTTGGTCAATTTGTGTTTGTGYATTATGAGTACATAAAGCCTTTGTATTCCTAGCTGGGGGTTGGGCTGAGGGACCCTGACTCTCTCATCAATCTTTACCCTGTTGAGTCTGATCACACCATAATTTGATATATGTATGCATCACACAATGATTGTGCCTTGCAGCATTTTAAGTTCTTCTTGAATAATAAATAGCCCAAGTTTTGTTTACCACCCATCAGTGTTGAARGACCAACACAGACTCCTACTGATCCACCTTCCTTCCAGTAGTATTGTACTGAGACATTTGTTTGCTTTCATCAATGTCCACCTTATTCATCCCATTTCTTAAACTATTTAAAGACGAGTGTGGGTGTAACTCAGTGGTAGAGCACTTGTTTAGCATGCATAAGGCCCTGGGTTCCATCCCTAGTGCATGCGCGCGCGCGCGCGCGCACACACACACACACACACACAAAAAAAAAAAAACCCTTCAAAGATTTCTACCCTGTTTAATGAGTCTCTTGAATCTTCCCTTTATATTTCTGTCTCTCTCCATTCTCTTGCAGCTTACTCTAATTTCCATAACTGTTTCCACATAATTTTTTCCTTTGGTAGCATCCCTGTGGCTGTATCTCAGAATAGATGAAATGCAAGCTCGGCCCAGATTCCAGATCACAATAACAAAGGCATTTATTTTGTAGTTTGCTTATTTCATTTTAATTTGCTTTTCTTAATGTGTCTAGGGAGTCATCTAAGAACACAACATCATTTAAAATATTGTGATTAAATTACACAGCCTTTGGCTGTTAGGGCTGTGAACTACATTGGCAGGCAAGAGAAGTCTGGTTGCATGTCCTACTGCTTAAAAAGCAGTCCACTTAGGTCAGCAAGTATGTGAAGGCCTTGGCTGCTCTGCCTTTGGCCCCAGCCCAGAGTGCAAGACAATTGTCTCTACTATTTAGATATAGGTTAGAACTGCCGAATGTATTGTTTAAAGGCATGTAGAAAATCTCATCTATGTGAAAGTCACTGCCATAAAGGTTCTGGTTATAGAATAAAGAGTAAATGTCATGTCATCAAAATTAAGAGAAGCTCAGGTGCCTTTTATAAAAAGCAACCTTTTGAAATTTAAAAACTTAAGTAGACTTGTTTGGTTGACAGAGAAGTTATAAGACAGCTCAAGAGCTTTCAGGCCTAAGACAAAGCTATGTTGCTTAGATGTTAAAATCTTGTAGTGGATTGTGCAATTGCTGGGTTGCCACCTAAAATATTTTAATGTAATCTATTGAAAACGATTTTACCAAAGTGTAAGTATTAAAAAGTATATGGGCAAAAAAAAAAGTAAGTAGTGAACCAATTCATCAGGAAGTGGATCTGTTATTTCTGAAGTTCACTGATAACTTTACTTCTAATAACCAGCTGAGCATGAGTAACTACGATTCCAGTTTTGGATTAACTAGTTACTGAGAATCCAAATTTTGTCAACTGCTCTTTCAACCTTCCTTGTCCCAAGCCATGATTTCACCATGTGTCAGTGAGCCAGGATCATTTTAGCAACCCCACCTTTTGATACCAGCTGTAGTTTTTGAGATTACCAAGCCCACTCTTAGATTCAGGAGTTTACTAGATGTATTATCAGATTGCTTGAAGCTGTTTTAACCACATTCATGGTTTATTACACTGGAAGAATAGAGATTCAGATCAGCAAAGAAGGGGCACATAGGAGAGGGTCCAGGAATAATGTGGTATGAGCTATCATTTGTCCTTTTTCAGGGGAATCACATGGATAGCACTTTTTACTTTTTCTGAAACAATATGTGGCAATACACATGGAATACTGTCAACCAAAGCTTTTGTGTCCAAGGTTTTCATTAGATGTTAACAGACTATTTTATGTAACTTAAGCTCTGAGTTACTCCATGCTGCATAGAATAGAAGTTTTCAAGCTGTGCCTAAGCCTTTGTTACTCCATTTTGTAAAGCAATAGTTTGCTATAAGCTGCTCTGTTTTGTGTTTAAGGGATGAGGTGTAATGATTCCATACCTTGTTTGTACAAATAGATAACCACTATATACCTGCCATAACCATAGGCATAAGCTGATAAATAAATTGTGCTAGTAAGGATAACCACCTGTACTTGGGTGCAGTGGCACATGCTTATAATCCCAGTAGCTCAGGAGGATGAGGCAGGAGGATCACAAGTTCAAAGCCGGCTTCAGCAAAAGTGAGTGCTAAGCAACTCATTGAGACCTTGTCGCTAAATGAAATACAAAATAGGGCTGGGGATGTAGCTCAATGGTCAATCCCCAGTACCCCTTGCCCCCCAAAAATGACCACCTCTGAACTTATAAAATTAATCAGAAGCACATGGAAACATGCGCATATTAAACTCACATCAGACAAAACATGAGCTCATCAAACATGAGCTTATCAAACACTCCAGACCACCAAATGATGCTACCCACTCACTCAAGACCCATAAAAGAAGGAGCATCCCAAGACAGGACAGAGTGGCTTCCTGACCCCATTCAGCCATAAATAAAATGAAATTATGTCATATGCAGGAAAATGGGTGGAACTAGAAACCATCATGTTGAGCAAAATAAGTCAAACTCAAAAGGTCAAGGATCATATGTTTTCTCTCATATGCAGAAGCTAAAGAGGAAAAAGGGAAAGAAGGTGGTATAGATCTCCTAAAAATCAAAGGGAGTTCAGTAGAGGAAAGGGACTAGGGGGTTAGAGGGAGGGCAGGAGCAGGAAAATGCCAGAAGTGATACTGGCCAAATCATATTGTTATATTGTGTGCGTGTACAAATATGTAACAACAAATCCCAACATTATGTACATCTGTAATGTACCAATAAAAAATGTGGAAAACAAGACATAACACCTCCACCTATTAAACTAAGAAAAATAATAAAAGTAAAACCTATAAATCTAAAAAAAGAAAAAGAAATTAAGATTGGAACAAATGAAATTGTGATTGCCCAGTTTATGACTATCAGGTGATCCACAATTTTCAGTGAACTGCCACTGATGAAAGTGGTGTACCTGAGAATTTATTATTCTTCAGTAAAATCTGAAAATGTGGAAAGAAACAAACGTGTTTGGTCTATATTAATGACGTAGCATGCTCATGACACTAGGTAAATATAATATTGTCAGGGAGGACATATTCAAGCCTTAAGAGTTCCTCTAACAAGTGGCGGGCAAGGGTCAAACCTTAATTCAGGCTAGGTTAATCCTTTACTGCAGAGGATCTCAGAGTGACTCAGTGATTTGTCTCCAAATTTAAGCTTGTATTTTAGTGCTGGGATATAAAACAACCCAGTTTTAATATTCTTACTATACCACATTACCCATTTTATTTTGTCCCACTTATCTGAACTTACAGATTTCTCCCACCATCTGTCACCAATGTAGCCATTGCTCCACAAATAATGTTTCGTGGAATTCTTAAAGAAAAAAAAAAGCATTTTCAAGAAATTCACATATTTTGAAGTCCAACCATGGCAGTCTTCCCTAAGTCCACCCATTCCTGCATGACTCATTTGATGGTTTCCCTTAGGTTATAATCAGTATGGATTTCTACCTTTTATCAGCCTAACTTCAGATCATTTACAATATATTATTTATTAGCAAGCTTTCTGTCCTTTCACCTCAGAAATATCCTCTGGTTTTACTTATTTAATTCATGTCATAGGTATGATATTCCTCTCCTTTTTACAATACACATGTATGGTAATGTATTATAAAAATATGTAACCAAGCAAGCCTTCCTTCAATTTGGATGATCATGTAGGACAATATATATTTGTCAATCCTCCCAAATAATTCAGTCATACAAATGTTTGAGAATCATTGAGAATCTCTTACTCATTTCTTTCATCTTCCTATATGGATTTATTCATTCTTTGTTTTCCTTGTTCATTTGTTGAAAGGCACAGCTCTAGTCAGTAGTGCCTTACTATTCACTATTAGTTTATGTGAAAACATTTTTTGTTTCTATCTTTCCAACCATAGAAGTTTTATTTCTCCCAAATTAAGAGAGGAGCAAATGTTTTATTTTTATTTCATTTCAGATCAACCATTGAAGTCTGCATCCAAGAATCAACCTTTAAAGGGAAAAATTAGTAATGTAAAATCATTYCCATTAGAGTTCATGGAAGGAATTATAAGGCCGTGCTCAAGTGTCCAAGATATTTGGGAATGTAAAGACCAGTTTGAGGGACCATATTCTTATCAAGAAGCACATTTCAGCAAAGTAATAATCACCCGTGAAGATGTACCTGCTTTTGATCAGCAGGTATCTCTTACTCTATACCACAGATCTGGAAATGAGGATAAACCATATTACTGTAAGGAATGTGGGAAGCCTTTTAGTCGTGGATCACAACTTACTCAACACCAGAGAACTCACAGTGGTGAGAAACCCTATGACTGTAGGGACTGTGGGAAGGCCTTCAGTTGTAGTTCCGCACTTTCAAGACATCAGAAAACTCACACTGGTGAGAAACCCTATGAATGTAAGGAATGTGGTCAGTCCTTTAGTTGTGGCCCATATCTTCTGTGACATCAGAGGATTCACACTGGTGAGAAACCTTATGAATGTAGACAATGTGGGAAGGCTTTTAGTTGGATGTCATATTTTTCTCAACATCAAAGAATCCATACTGGTGAAAAACCCTATGAATGTAAGCAGYGTGGAAAAGCATTTTGTTGGAAGTCCTATCTTACAAAACATCAGAGAATCCATACTGCTGAGAAATTCTATGAGTGTAAGGAATGTGGGAAGGCCTTTAATAAGACCTCAAAACTTGTTCAACATCAGAGAATTCACATTGGAGAGAAGCCCTATGAGTGCAAAGAATGTGGAAAAGCCTTTATTAGGAGCTCAAGCCTCATTCAGCATCAGAGAATTCACACTGGTGAAAAACCCTATGAATGCAAGGAATGTGGAAAGACCTTTAGTTGTAACTCATACCTTTCTCAACATCAGAGATTTCACAGTGGTAAGAGACCCTATGAATGTAAAGAATGTGGAAAGACCTTTAGTTACCACTCAAACTTCACCATACATAAGAAAATGCATACAGGTGAGAAACCCTATGAATGCAAGAACTGTGGCAAGGCCTTTACTAGGAGTTGGAACTTTATTCGACACCAGAGAATTCATAATGGTGATTAACTCTGTATGACTGGAAAAAAATACATACAGGATTTTTTAATGGTTCAGATTTTTTAAAACCTGAGAATTAAAAAATAGTAGACCATCTTATAATGTAATTGTTAGGAAAACCTACCAATGGCCTACAAAATTTACTAAGCCTCCCAAATTCCACACTTACAACCTTATTGTAAATATCAGAAAAGTTCTTATTTGAAAGTAACCATGTGAATTTATCTCCTTAAATAGACCATAGTTTATTCAGAATCAACTTTGCAACCATTTCAGATTTTACTATAAAAGTATGGATGTGTCTAAATCAATAATTTAACCACAAATTCTTATTAATTTCTTTATTCCACATGTTTGCACTGCCTCCTGTTATTGACACATTATATTAATATTGACCTGTGTTTCAGGACCTTATTTGCCCTTACAGATACTCAAAGTATTTAAATATGTAAATTTGATATTTTATATAACAGATTTATATCTGTTTGTTTTTAAAAGATGGACTTACTTTCCCTTTTATGAAAATATCATAAAATTTTATGTTATATAAAGAAGCACAAGGGAAAAATCTTTTATTTCTATCAAAAAATCCACTGTCAGTGGGATCCAATGATATGTGTTTATGAAATATTTACATGCTATAATAACATTTTTTACCTACCATTTCTGTGCCAAAGAAATTTTCCTGTCAGTATATAGATCTCCTATAACTGTTAATGGCTTCACTGGGTTCCCTATGAKGCTGTATTTATCAAATACCTTTGATTGTTTGCCTCCAAGTTGGGAAGGTCATGAACAATGTCCTTTAAAAAATAAAAATTTTTCTAGACATATCTTTGTACATTTATCTGTTTTTTTCTTTTTTAGGAAAGTTTTTATTGCAAATAATACATAAATACAATTCTTGTGAAAAAAGATTTAAACATCAGAAATTCCTAAGTTCTTGTTTCATGCCTATCCTGATCCCTGTACACTTTCCAAATGTAAGCACTGTTATTAATCTTTATGAATCAAAATCTTTTATCTGTGTTTTAAAAACTGTTAATGTTTTATGATAGTATATTTATGCATTGTGAAATACAGGTGGAAATTCTACCTCATTGTGTGAGAATCAGTAAGTTTGTAAACCTAAAGTGCTTATGTGTTTTATAATAAATATTAGGCAAACGTTGGCCATCTTGATAATTATTTGTGGAATAGAATTTGTTGTATACCAGTTTACAGATTTCTTATGATGATTGTTGTACTATCRGTGTTATAAAAATTGGGGAGACTTTCACCAGCAACTTTTCTTTATTGAATAAAGTTTACCCTGAAGAATCAAAAGCACAAACTGACCCTAATATATATGAAGCATTTTACTCAGACCATAAGCTGCATAGATATTATGCAAGCCTGAAACGCTACATGGTGTAGCTGAGCACGACTTTCCAAAGAGCAGAAAGAAGATGTAGAAATGTGTCTCTATAATCAGTTCTGGAAAAAAAGAATGGATGTCTAACCATGCTTTTTGACAAAATTATAACAAAAATCTTGATAATAGTACAGCATGAAACATCCAGAGATCCATTTATGGATCTAAATAATCACTGGTTTGAAACAAGACTGAAATTACATAATCTTTGGAAGAAAATGAATGACAAAAGGCCTACTGTGTAGAAAATCCTGGAAGTACAATAAATGCTACATGTCCTATTAAATATCTAAGCCTAAGTGCCACGCCCACCATCACCATCCAATCCCAGTGCTGCGCGCCAGCCCACGAGATCCACGACCACCGGCCGGCCCCGCCCATAGGACCGAGAGCCTCTGCGCAGGACGGCGCGGTAGCAGCCAATCCGCAGCCGGAAGGCCCGGTCCGGGCAGAAGCGGCCTGGGCGCTAGGGCTGCGGGGAAGTGTAGTCCTGGGGTCGCAGCGCGGTCAGAGCCCGCACCCGCGGGACGCGTAAGGTAGGTGGGTCCAGCTAAGTTGACTGCAGCTTGCGGGGCAGGTACGCTTCGCAGAGGTGGACGGTGTGAGTCTGGGGCCGGCGCCAGAGGCTCCGGAGGCTCTTCGGAATCCGAGCCTGGAGCGAGAAAGCGGTAGACGCGCTCCTGGCGGCGGCGGCACTGGGTTTCCCCCAACAGAGCACGGCCTCCGCTGGGGAAGCCGTCCTCGGTCCAGCACGAGGCCCTCGCGGCGGCCTTACCCATCGAGTTGGGAAACTTCAGTCAACGAACTTTTGTTTGAGTTTCTAGAGAAATATATGCTCATTGAGAAAGTGCATTTAAAGGAAAAAAAGTAAGGAACAGCATCTCACTGACTTGTAGTGTTTAACTGTTAAAGGAGGCTTAACTTTGGAAATGTGTTTTATATCTTTTTTGTTTTGGCTGTTGATGGACATTTATTTTATTTATTTATATGTGAGAATCCAGCCCAGTGCCTCACACGTGCTAGACAAGMGCTCTACCACTGAGCTAGGGCCCCAGCCCCATATCATATATTTTTTAGTTTCATGCATTCCTACCCAGATATTTTAGTATTTCCATTCCTCTCTATTATTTGCAGTGCACTATTTCATAGCCCTTACTTACTGTGCTCCCTTCCTTCTTCTCTCTCTCTCTCTCTCTCTCTCTCTCTCTCTCACACACACACACACACACACACACACACACACGCGTTTACACTCACTTGTCCCAACCCTTAACTTGCTTGCAGTTCTCTGGCTCTGATTAAATACGGTTCTGATTAAAGTAAAATCCCTGACTTCTTGCATCTGTACCCATTCAGTTGAACTGAATTTAGCTGGGAGGGGGGGGGGAAACCAACACTAAACACACCCACAGTTCTGACTTTAAAGTTTTAGTCTTCTTCCTGATAATATCTTTGTGTGTCACAATAACGTTGGCATTTTGGATTTGACCAGTAATGCTTCCTTGTGGTTAAATTTACATTATTTCTAGCAGGAATACAAAAACGATGCTGAATTCTTTTTAGTGTGTCCTACCAGGAGTTAGTTACCGTGGGTTATTCCCATCTGGCTCTAGTCAGCCTTAGCCACTTGGTTAAGTTAGTACCTCTTGAGAATTCACTGTGAGATTGTTGTCCTGTCCTTTGCATTTACATAACTGTCTTTTGGGGAGATACTTTGAGATGATATAAATACCCTGTTACTTTTCAGATTTCTGTGCACAGATTTTAAATATTGGTTCTTCGAATCTGTTATGGTGCTTGTCAAATGTTGATTTTTCTAATTCCATCATTCCTTTATTTGTTAATCAGAATTCTACAGAAATGAAGAGTTTCCCTCTGCTACTCCATGCTTGTTAGTTCACTTCCTTATGTCTCTGTGAACTCTCGGACACTTTATTAAATATATCTTACTCCTGTGATGATCTGGGAGGGGTGATCTACTTATTCCAGGGGATCCCGTCAAGTTCTTCTGTCCTTTAGCCCTTTTCCCTATCACTTTTTGAGAACTTCCTCACTTTTTTTTTTAAATCAATCATAGATTTTTTTTAAGAGAGAGACAGAGAGAGGGAGAGAGAAAGAATTTTTAATATTTATTTTTTAGCTTTTGGCAGACACAACATCTTTGTTTGTTTGTGGTGCTGAGGATCGAACCGGGCTGCAGGCATGCCAGGCGAGCGCGCTACCGCTGAGCCACATCCCCAGCCCCACTTCCTCACTTTTTGACATCAAGAAGTTCTAGGCTTGGCGCCAGGCGGTCGCCGGAGGTCCCATGCCGCGCCGCGACCCCGCGTCCCTGCTGCCCGCCCCCGCCCTCGCAGCGCTGCACCCGCGCGTCCTTAGCGGGGCCACCAAGCGATGCCCGCTGGGCGCCCGCGAAAGTTTGTCGGCTCCGCTGAAGGGCAGCGGCGCCCCCGCACCCCGCTCCGGCCAGGAGCCTTCACGTAAATGGGTCCAGTCATGTCTGCCACTAAGAAACCGGAAAGCTCAGGAATTCGTGTGTCCAGTGGACTGAGCCAGTGTTACCGGGCAGTGGTTTCTCCAAGGCCCTTCAGGAAGACAATGACCTCGACTTTTCCCTGCCTGACATCAGATGAGAAGAGGGGACCATGGAAGATGAAGAGCTGAACTGGCTGCATGGGAGCAAGAACATCCTGAAGAGCTTTGGGGAGTCGGTCCTCAGGAGTGTCAGCCCGGTCCAGGACCTGGACGACGACACCCCTCCACCCCAGCCCACTCTGACATGCCCTGTGATGCCAGGCAGAACCCCAACTGCAAGCCCCCCTACTCCTTTGGCTGCCTCATATTTATGGCCATCGAGGACTCTCCAACCAAGCGCCTGCCCTGAAGGATATCTACAACTGGATCTTGGAACATTTTCCGTATTTTGCGAATGCACCTACTGGGTGGAAAGACTCACTGAGACATAATTTGTCATTGAATAAGTGTTTTAAGAAAGTGGACAAAGAGAGGAGTCAGGTAAGCCTTATGTGTCTGGAACCAGTTTATGACATATTTTTCTCCACCAAAAAGCAGCTCATATCCACCACATTGAAGTGTAGGGGTTTGTAAATGCCTGTTTTTGTTTGTTTGTTGTTTACTTTGGCTCATTTAGGTAGTTGTGAAGACTTCTGTTTCCTTAACCTTATGAGCTATGTGCTCTTTTTCGTGTTCATGCTGTCAAGAAGTTCCCACTGATGGCCTTTCTCATACCCAGCCGTGGTTCACAGAACCAAGTGGTTCTCAGTGTCGCCCCTTCATGTGGATGGGTCACTAGAGTTCAAACAAAGGTCTGTATTCCAAGTGCACCCACTGACCATGAGGTTTCTAACTGTGAGGACATTGGCCTCCTATTGCCACTAACGTCTAGAGAAAAAAAAATTTTTTTTTCTGAATATTAAAAAAGACCACCTCCCCAGGATTCTGGAATAAATGGACATCAAGAGACYTTGGGAGGGTACTTGAAGGTACTTTTATACTCCTAGACAAATCAGGGACATGAGTTGCCAGAGGACGTTTATGAAATCTGGAGTTTGGCAACTTTGAAACTCCATGTGCA